ATGAAGATTGTGACATGCCATCACTGTGTCAGGTACAGCCCTTAGCTCACATACTTCCTAGGCCAAGCCCAGGTCTCAGCTGTGGGCAACCCTCGGGCATGGGCGGGAGATATCTGAGAAAGGCGCTAAAAGACCAGCCAGCCCAGGAGCAACATCTGAGAAAGGGAGGATCACGCTTCTCCACCAGAACCACACCCTTAGCCTCCAACATGATCTCTGCCTCCTGTGAAGACAACACACATCACTAAATATGTCCCCTTTGCCAACAGAGCCATTGGGTGCTAGGAATATCTCCCAGGGTCTGCAGAGTAGCATTCATGTTCCAAGGGCTGCTGGAGAAATCCTGGCCCTTCTCCTTCCCTAACAGCTCCTTCCTGGTCTCCCTGGCCTCCTCTCCTCACCATGCTCTTCCTCCATACACAGGACTTACCCAAGACTCTTATCTCTTCCTATCCCTCTCTGAGACCTTCACCCTCCAAGAACTCATCTGACATTCTCAAGCCAGAGACTCCTTCATCCAAGTGTCTAGCGCAGCCTACTCCTCTGAACTCCATCCCTGCCTCCAGGAATCTCCAGGTGAAGACCACAAACCCCCTTCTCTCAGCACCACCCAAGACAGACTCCTCTTCTCTCCTACTCCCTCCCCTCGATGCTCCTGCCTTTAAAGACACCAACTTTGTTCTCGTCACTAAGTCCAACATACTTTGTCATCTCTACCTTCTCCTCTGTCTTGCTATCCGGAATATGTTTCTGGGCCTCATATCCCTCCCTCCTGCAATTGACAACCACTTCTCACCTGAAGCACCAGACATGCCCCCTTTCCCAGTCCCTCACCCTCCATCTGCCACATCCCAGTTCACAGTCCTAGAACATTATCTCACCTCCTTAACAAATGAGGCCTCACCCTTCAACCTGGCGCCCTGAGCCTATGTCCCCAGTCCCCTCCCCCACTGTAGCCCTCTCTTCTGTCACCCAGACACGTCTACTTCCCAGCCGCACTAACTGTGCCTGCCTTCACACTTTTTCTCTGCCCTCTTTCTGCCCAACATGCTGGCACTATCCATCCTACTTAACCCATCCCTAAGGCCAGGTGACAGGTGAAACTTGTGGATGCTGAGATTCAATCATTCAAATCCCACCTCCTCTAAAAAGCCTCCCCCGTCAAGGACCTGGCCTAAAATGCTCACCTCTCAACTCCTGAGGAAATCTCAGCCTATGCCTTCCTGTGGCCATGGATACATATGATCAACAGTAATCACAGTGAATACTTAGAGCATGCAGTGTGTCGAGTTCTGGGATAAGCACTTTATATGCACTATCTCATCAGACCCTCACAAACTTTCATGAGGTGAATATGATTTTGTCCCCATTTTAAGGTCAGGAAATGAAGTGTGGGCAGGTTACATAACCTCCCCAAGGACAGTGGCAACCGTACTGGTCTCATCTGGAGCTTCCTAAAGCTTGTTTTGAGCTTTAACTTCTCTGAGTCTGTGTCTTGCTTCACAGATTTTAATGGCTGCAGGGCGAGACAGGGCTCTCGCACCTTCCATTCCCCTTCTCTAAGCCTCACTCAGCGCCTTGTCCAGAGGAGCACACTGATCAGCTTTTTTCTGAACAGCACCTGCACTGAGTGGCTCTACTAAGACTCATAAAATGGTGGCAGAGACAAGACCTTAGGGCTGGGCCTCACCGCCACCAGTGTGGTTTCTGAGTCATAATTTGAACAGGGTGTTCTTGAATTTATGTACTGATGTACCCATTAAAACTCCTTGTAAGTAGCTCATGTTTTAATGATGACTTCTAGGAGGGAGCACTTCTCCAAGCTCAGGTCTGATGGGGAGAAGAAGCAGCACAGGTGGGTGGACCAAGTCTTGTGTAGGCTATGTTAAAACCGTGGTCACTAATGGCCACAGTTCTCTCCCTTAGTGTTACCACCAGGGGGCACATTGACTTAAACTGAGCCCTTGACCCTAGCAATAGAAGCCTAATTTATTTTCCTCATCCACCTGGGTTCCTCACAGATTTGATGCCAGACTTTCTGGCACAGCTAGACACCAGCAAACTCCCACGTGCAGAAAAAGCCTGACTACCCAAGCTGGGAACTGCCAGCCTGGCACCTCAAGGAGAAACGGGGTTGGAACTATGCAGTCTTAGTCTCAGCCCTGGGGAGAGGGGTTAAGGCACCACTGCAGATACCTGTAACCGGCCCGAGAACAGCGATACCTCTGCTAATCTTGAGTCTTCTATATCTCGTATTGACATTTAACTTCCCTGATTTTTGTGTCTTGCTTCCCAGATTTCAAATGGTTTCAGGGGGTCCCAGATTCAGATGACAAACTGTAAACCTGGAAGGAAATTACTTTTCTTTCTGAATTTTATCTGTGCGTGTCACCAGGTACCCACATTAGTCTGAAAGACCAGCTCCCATGGAGGGCAGGGGTCTGTGAGAGAGGTCAGCATGCTCCAGAAGTGAGTAGAGCTGGCCAGCTAAGCTGGGGAGGGATCAGGCCTCCAATCAGCACCCAACAGCTGAGACCTGCTCTGCAGAGCTAGGACCCAGGGCAGGAACAAGAGGGAGAAGTTGTTGGAGGGTCAGGGGTGTGGGCAGAGAATGAAGGCGAGGGAGAAGAGGCCTGGTTGTGCCAGACGCCAGCTGCATGAACTTGGGCAGTAGCTGAAGTTCTGGGCTTACTTTTTCATCTGCAAAACGGGTGAGAGCACCTGCCCTGCCTGTGGTGCAGGGCTCTTCTGAGGATTAATAGAGACACGGGGTATGAATGGGCTCTGTGAGCCGGTAGAACTCTAGGCAGGCATGAGGGATTATTGTTCTCATCCTCATTATTTCAGCATGAGAACCACATTTGCTGGTTGCTGAGCTGTATCCGGCCATTAGCTCAAGGTTGTGACTAATTGTTTTTTAATGAAAAAAAAAAAAAAAACAAGATTCGCTTAATGTTTTGTGAGTCACACAAGTGAGCATCTCTATACCAAGAATATCTCACTTTCAAAGATGTCGCCTGTCCACCTAATAGTGGCTGAGAAGAGGTCAGTTGTGACCGACCTCCTTTCCTGAGGGGCCGCTGTGCACTTTGCAAACCACGGCAGTGAGTGGGGTGAATAAGATGGTCTCTGCCCTCAAGGAGGCCCAGATGGATGAGTAGGAAGACCTGCTAGGCTCTCTCTGATGCTTACAGGATGGGGCTCCCTGAAACAGCCATAAGCCAGGGCCCCTCAGGTCATGCCAACAGTGAACACTCAGTGGACCCTAGGATGCCAGCTGCAATTTGCCAGTGGCAAATGTGGTGCCTCGAAAACTGCAGCAGGCAGATGGCATTGGGCTGGACCTTGGACAGGTATAGGGTTCTGCCTGTGAGGAGGACATCCCAAACACGAACACACGGGAGGGGAGGGCAGAGAATACTTACTAGGGACTCTCCCTCAAGGAGCTTTCAGTCCACTTGAGAAGAAAAGGAAATGAGGAATATGAAAGCCACATAAACATTATGTGGATATGTATTGTGAAGGACCAAAAGGAAGGTGTGTGTGGCAGGTGGGGAAAAGGGCAGGGGAGTGAGCTGGAGGACTGGCCTTTGCTCCTCTGCTCCCGTGCTGGTTCCTGCCCCACCATCTCTCACAGGCTATTTTCTAGGCTCCTCCAGTTTGGCCCCCATATCCTGCAACGCCCATCCTCCAATCCGGAGTCCATGCCACCAGCATTCATACTTCAGAATCCCATGAAGCCACAGTCCTCCACTCCGCTACCCACAGGAGAAAATCCAAACCCCTCAGTCTGGCATCTAAGGCCCTCCACAGTGGGGCCAACATTTCCAGTCATATCTCTTACAACCCCCTATCATCTGCCCTATGACCAAGTTACACCAGACAATTCATCATACCCCAGACATGCCAATCACTTTAATGTAAATACATTCACCTAGCTTGACTCCTCTGCCTAGAATGCTCAAGTAAGTGGGCTCTGGCATTTGAATCCTAGCATTGGATCTTAGGTAAGTTACTTAACTTTTTTGTGTCTGGGTTTCTTCACCTGAGAAATGAGGATAATAGAATTCATCTTCTAGGATCATGTGAAAATCAAATAAGTTAAAACAAGTAGAGGTTAGATTAGCTCCTAGTACATAGTAGCACGCAAAAAAAAATATATTAACTGTTGTTGTATCAGTGGATTGAAGCACTCCAGGGTTTAGTTTGATGTCACTTGCATAAAGAATAAATTGCTCCTCCTTCTGCACATGTGGGTAGTAAATCTGTCATAGTGTCATTCCTTAATGATGGAAATTTGCTGAAGCAAATCAGGTGGGAAATCAGGTGTAAGCCTACTATTTACTTGTAAGATCAGGATATTGGCAAACAGCCCAAAAGCCCAGTTTCTCATTTAAGGATGATACTGGTCTCAAACACTTACTGGTACTTCCCAAGAATGAGGGCAAAAGCAATAAGTGGTTTCTGACTTCAGGCTGGAGAAATGAGGCCCTGGCAGCTGTACTCAACCACCCTGCAGAGGTTCCGGGTCACGTGCAATAAAAATGGCAGCAGGACTATTAGCTGACAAGCTGGAACCATGCAAGGCTCAGCCCTCAGAGGTAGAGTGGATTCATGGAAAGGGACCACTCTGGGCACTGAGCTGGGCTGCCTGGGCTTGCAGGACACCCATCCAGTTCCTAATCTTTTATGTACAAATTCCACTCACGCATCCTGAGAATGCGGCTCTGAGGGCCAGTTCCTGTTCTCCTTCAGCCTATCCCGAGGTGCCTTCTCTCTCAAAGGCCTTTCTGATGGGCTCCAAAATGATGGCATCCTAGGTCATTCCAGCTGAGAGAAAATTACACAACTTTCCTGAACGATCTGCAGCCACTTGTCCTAGTAGAACTGTGGAGCCGGCAGGGCCTTGCTACAGAACAACTTACAAATGATCCTCAGGGCTGTGTCCAAACTCCCGAAACCAACTCTGCGGCTCTGATATAACTCACAGTCTTCCCACAGCAGAGAGGTGTTTTTATTGAGGCAAATGGGAGAATGAGCTTTATTATCCAAAATTCAATCAGCACGGCCAAGTAGATTCATCAAAGAGCTTCAGACAATCATATAATTGATAAAGTGACATTTACAAAGAGATGACATGACTGCTTTCCCAAACTCATAGTTGCCTGGGTGCCTCAGAGTCTGCCTGAGGCTGGGATCACCCTTGGGAGTCTAGAAGTAGATGCAGCAATGATGGCCCTCTCTTGGAAGCCATTCCATGGTCATCTCAACCCACCATGGGAATGTTTAAGATGCTCTGGGGTCCCTGCAGGCATGCCAACTCAATGGGACATTTCTACAAGACAAGAACACCTGGTGGGCCACCAAGGCCCACACCAAGAGGAAGAACAGCTGGGGCCTCTGGGATAGGGGTCCTCTCTGATTAAACTGACCACCCCGTCTGGCAGGAGCATGCCCGGATACCTCCCTCCCCTTGGAAGGATTCCAAAGTTGTGCAGGGGGAAAAACCCACTGCTGCACAGACCCACACCTGGAAAAGGGTCTTGCTGGTGCCTGCTCAGGCTCTTGGGAACAATGTGCCTGAGTGGCAGTGGCCATGTAGCATCCATGCCCCTTGCTGGTCATGCCATCAACCTTTCCTTCCCTGTTCCATGCCTTCAAGCCAGTTGTGTTGTAAGGGTCTGGGGCAGCCCCAGAGCAGCAGGCTCTCCTTGTGGGAATACATGATGAGGACAGCACAGACCTCTGCATCTACATCTCAGCCAGCCTGCTTCACTGTCCTTGGGCCTCCCCCTGCCCCAGCTAACCAGTGGCCAGGAAAGAACAGGATTGGGAAAGGGGCCATGTGGGACAATCCAGTAGTGAAAGACTTCTCTAACAGTGCATGTGACCCAACTCTGGCTTCATGTCCCTAAAAACAATCAATCCAAGTCTGTGTTGGGGTGGGAAAGTCTTCTTTTCTTAGTTGGAGCCCAGAGCCACCAGACTTTTTGGTGTCTAAAGTCCACATTTATTTTCTCTTTATCTACAGGTGAATCACAGATGAGCCTGCTGACCAGGATGCTGGGCTACTGTTCCTTTTCTCTCTTTCTTTTTTTGCACATTTACATTTGCAACCAGCTCCTAAGTGAGTCTCTTTCAGAAGGCACCAATTTGGTGACTGCTGGCTGCATTATTAGAGTGTACCCTGTAGAAAGGTTCTTGATCAAGATGGTGCCCTGAAAACAGGCATTGTTTAAAAACTGCCCACAGAGCTGTCCAGGAAAAGGATAACACCAAGATCATGTCAGATATGTTAATTAGATAAAATTTGCAACAATCCTTTGGCCAAAGAGTGGTCTGACTAAGACTTCTTCTGGTTTAGGTTTCTTTGGAGCAGGACCAGTGCTGCCCCCACAGCTGCATCCACATCCTGCCCAAAGGACACTAGGAAAGGGAAAGCCCTCTGCACCTCTTGCTTCAGCACCTCGTTCCTGGACAGCGCACTCCCACTGCTGACCACCCGCTCTACACCCCATTCTTTGAGCTGCTGAAATGGAAGCATTGAGTGTAGGTTCTGAACAATGCCTCGGCACAAGGCCCGAGTCACATGCCCCAGGGAGAGGTCCGAGGAGGAGATTCTGGTTACTGACGCCAGCTGGTCTGGCAGGTGCCTTTCGCCCAACACTGTTGGAGTGATGGTTAGGCAGGTGTCTCTCTGCCGTACAGCTGCCTGGATCATGCGTGAATACACAGTGGACTCTTCAACCTCCAGGCCTGCCAGGAACAGAAAAGACCTGTGTGAGCTCATACATCCCCTCGCTGCAGGATGAAGCACTATAGAATTTCCAAAGGGTAAGGATGGGTCTACTACCTGCTTCTTCTCACTGTAGCTGGTTGCTTCCCAGCTCAGAGACTCACATGGCTGGCTACCTATGCTCTGCCCCAGATCAGCCAGCTCTCTCACTACACACCCCAGCCCAGACTTCAGGGAGAGGTCCTGTAAGTGTTGCTGTGAGCCCTAACCATCCCACAGCTCTGGGACCCTTGGTCCCAAGGGCGAGGACATAACACATATGGCTGTACTAGACTACTTATTAGCAGTGTCATAGAAATCCCAGGGTCACAGGGCTGATTCTGGTCTGGCCAATCTCTCCTCAGGAGTTAAGAACCACCAGTGTAGCCCAGTGCTTCTCATATTTGAATATGCATAGGAATCACTTAAGGGTCTTATTAAAATGCAGCCTCTGACTCCCATGCCTGGGGTGGGCCCTGAGATTCTGCATTTGTTATCAGCTCCTAGAGTATACCAGAACTCCTGGCCCAGAGGACTACACTTTTTGAGTAGAAGGTTCTAGACCAGAGTTTACCAGTAACACTTGAGAACAACAAAATCAGCTAAGGCTCCTTTATAAAATGCCATGCTTAGGCCCCACCCAGCCCCCAGACCAAATAATCAGCATTTTTGTGGGTGTAACTAGAACATGAACATTATTTTTAAAACTCCACAAGTATTTCTAGTGTGTGGGCAGTGCTGAGAACCACTAATCTAGAGTCACTTTGAAGTATCATCAGCAGCACATTTAACTTTTACAAACTCAACTTATACCTGCTCAGGAACTAGAGAGAGAGAAGTAATTTAAATATCATAGTCAAAATTCCATTAGCAGGATTCTGGTTAAACACAGCAGAATGAACATATGTCTTTCTTCTCTCTATATAAATTCTACTAAAATTTCAGAAAAAGCATGTGCTTGGTGGATAACCTAGTACATGTGTACAGTATATAAATCTGTAGGATGGAGTCCTGAAGGGAAACTGCCAGATCAAAAGATGTGCGCGTGACATTCCCTCCTTAGAAGTTGTACCAATTTACACTACACAACAATGTAAAAGAGTGACTGTCTCTCCACATCCTAGGAAACATAGTGTGTTAGAAACTTCTAAAAGAATAGACATAAATGTAAAACCATTAAATTAATAGGAGAAAAAAAGAAAAGGAAATAAAAAAGAAAAAAACAGATCAATCGAATGGAAGACAGGGAGACTAAGGAGATATGATGACTAAATGCAATGTGGTACCCTGGATTGAATCCTAGAACAGAAAAAGGACATTAGAGGAAGAACTGCTGAAATCCAAATAAAGTCTACAGTTTTAAAAAAAATAATAATGTGTTTGTATTGCCTTAATAAAATTTCAAAAATATTTTTTAAGGAAAGGTTAAAGTGTTCTTCACTGGGAAACACGTGGACCACAACGCAGGCCTTGGGGAGCACCTGAAGGAAGGTATACACCAGCTGGAGGCCTGAGACCTGGCTTCGAGCCCAGTCTCTGCATCCCTTGGCTCACCACCTTATCTGAATCTATTGGTGGGATTAACTGCTATGAGTTGCCAAATGTCCACACCATGGGCCTAGATACACAGAACATCGGAGTGGGAAAACACAGAAGGGAAGGGACTTGCCCAAGCTACGTAATGACCTAGGGGCAAAACTGGGAACCGAGGCCACTCTCCTGGTTTACAACTACCACACTATGCTTATTTAACAAGCGTTATATCGCACTTACTATGGGCCAGACTCAATTCTAAGTTCTTTACAATATTAACTCAATCCTCACAGTCCTTTGAGGTAGTTTCTAGGATGATCCCCATTTTCAGATAAGGGAAGTAAAACACAAAGAAGTTAAATAATTTCTCCAAAGGCACATAGGAAGTGGCAGAGCTGGGATTCAAACCCAGGCCACCAGGCTCCAGAGTCCTTGCTCTGAACTACCACACAAGGGTAGAACTCCATTTTCCAACCTCTGGACAATAATGCAAATCTAGGTTATTATGAATAGAGCAATAGTTTTACTTTTGCATCTTATGCTTTAATATTTCCTTTTCTGGATAATAAATGTATATCTTTTATCTGAGTAAATTGTATTGTATTTGCAATTATGGTTTGCGATCAAATGAAATAGTTGTAGAAATTTCATAAAAGTTTAAGTTACATAAAATACTAACCTTCAAAACACTCTTTTTTCCTCAAAATAGGTACTTCTGCATAAAGAGAAACGTTGGCCAACTCAGTAGACAATTGACAGACCCAAGCCAGTTAAACCAGTATCTAGATAAAGGGCTTTATCTGATAGACCCAGCTATCAGAAGGTTCTGATAATTGGTTCTGCATCTTGATAACCTTTTCTGATGCAAAGCAAAACAAAATTAAAGTTCAGTTATTTGAATGAAGCATTCCCAAGGAAACCCCAGCCAGGGCAGAGCCGACCCCCCCCCAACCCCCACCCCTGAAATCCTGACCTTCCTGGCCCACAGGAGTCATCGACATTTGTCTGCATGACTGACCCTAAGAGCTTCCCAGGGGCTCCCTGCTGCCTGTGCCTCGCCTTCAGACTGTGTCACCCATTTCATGCAATGAACTGACTTTGAGTTCCTACAGGTAACCAATGCTCCTCGTGAACATGATTTCTCCTGACCTGGACAGCTGACCAGAAACTTCATTTCTACTTTAAGTGCTTGGAAAGGGAACCTCTCCTGGAAGACGGAGGTTCTGTGTATCCTTGTAAATGCAGACCAGAGGAAGGCCTGATCCACTCTACCCTGAAAATTAAAGAAGAGAGCAGGAGGGCATCAGAGTCTCCAGGGACCCTTCCAAGAAAGGGAGTCAGGAACTACTCACCAGGATTGATGCTATGAAGATTTTATAATATTGTAAAACACTGGGAGTCTTTTTACTTATTTGTGTTTGATTTTTTTGTTTTCATCAGTCTATAGTCATCAGAAGGAAAACCTCAAATGCAAGGAACCAAAGGGACTTATTGACAGAGAAAGTAAGATAGTGGGGCAGGGGAGAGCTTGGAGACTCATGATATTCCACATTCAAGGTTAGGGGTGAAGGTGCCCCTCAAAAAAGAGAGTAGGTGATGGCAGCTCAGAAGATCAGAAGGTAGGCTACAAGCTCAGATCCCTAAGGAAGGAAAGGACGTTCTAGAACCAGGTTGGGTCTGAGACATAAATCTAGAAGTTTCAACAGCATGTTGGACACCAAAACACTGCCACATAGAAAGGACAACACGCTGCTATGTGAGTCAAGCCTTACCTAGATCTGCCATCCACTGGACCAGCATGTGGACAAATGTGGCCAGCACATTGCCCCCATTGAGTGATGCTGCCACTGCCAGGTAGGTCCTGTCAAAGTACGGGAAGTAGGCGACTGGAGCTGCAGGGTCTGGAGTCTGCGCTGGCTGGAACCCTGAAGGCATGGAGGCTGCTAGCTGAACCGAAGTGCTGATATTGAGAACTGGGGTTCAAGAAAAGCAGAGGTTAGGCCTGTCGGGATAACCCAGAGGTCACAAGTCACAACAGGGCAGGGGGAGAGTGTGCTGGTTTTAAAAATGTGTCCGCAAATTCTTTGACACTGCTCCTTTCAGGAGGGGATCCTAATTCCCTTCACCCTGAGTGTGGGCTGGACTCAGTGACTTGCTTCTGATGAAGAGAATAAAGTAGAAGTGACATTGTGTGATTCTGGAGCCCAGGTTATAAAAAGGCACTGCGTCTTCCGTCTTGGCTCACTTGCTCTGGGAGAAGGTGGCTACTGAGTTGTGAGTAATGCTATGGCAAGGCCCATGTGGCAAGGAGTTGAGGCCTCCTGCCAGGAGATACATGAGGGAGCTGAGAAGTGGGCCCTCCAGGCCTGGTTAACCTTCAGATGAGTGCAGTCCCAGCCCACCTTCCGCTTGATTGCAATCACATGAGGGACCTTGAGCCAGACCTTCCAGCCACAGCCAGATTCCTGACTCAGAAACTATTTCATCTATTTAAAATACAGATATTTACAAAGTAAATTTCAAACCCAGGCACATATACAAAAAAGAGAAACTGTGTAAGATAACAAATGTTTGCTGTTTTAGGTTACTAAGTATTGGTGTGATCTGTTACACAGCAATAGACATGGATTTACAGAGAGTGAGACCTCAGCCCAAATGTTTTATTCTCTGCAGAGGTCTCATTCTTTTCCCGTGAGTTCCACCTCCTTCTTATTTCCAAGGTGTTTTTCTTAACCTCTCCCATGAACAGGGCGGAAATTCCCAGACCCAGCAAGAGGGGACGATTTTCTCCTCTAGATCGTCAGATCCTCTAGTCTGCCAGAGCCTGCAGACTGTTCCAGGAGTCTCTTCTCCTCCATTTCTCACCAAAAGCCTGTTCTTCTCCATCTGGTGGGGGCCAAACTAACTGAAGTCAGCATTCAACTTCCCCACCTACTTACTGGAGCGGGGGTGTGGTCAGAAGCAAGGAGAGCAAAAACGAATCTCAGAAAGCCGATGACATTTACTTTCTGCCACATCAAGGCTTTCGCCATGACTATAAATCAGAAGCAATGTATCTTCACCTGTCCCCTCAGATGGAGTTGTCAGTGATGGGGGACTAATCAAATGTGCCCACGGACACGGCAAAGCTGAGCACAGGTAAGCAGCCTCAACCTGGAACCAGAGACTATAACCAGCTCAGTGAAGGAGCCTAAATCTCACCCTCTCCCCATTTGACAAGCCTCTCACTCACTATACAGAAAACACATTTACATCCAGGCACAAGACAGCCTTCTGTGGAGGGAAGAGGCTAAGATTGGAAAACCACTGGGTAAGAAGAAAGAACCAGGCCTTACAGGCACCACCCCAGTACATCACTACAACTGCCCCATGAGACGGCATCATCACCCACACTGTGGATGATGACAAGGGCTCAGGAAGAAAAGCTGACTGCTCAAGGTCACTCCAGAGGAAGAATGAGAGAGGCTGAAATTCCAACCCAGGCCTGAGATCTAGACTCCAAAGCCTATGTGAGTTCCCTGACATTCACGCTTTAAGATGAAGGGATATAAGGAGAGAGATGGTATACTGGGAAAATTAAAAGTCACAGAATAAACTTAGCATGTTTTCCTGGGGCATTAATTTTAATTGAAAGTTTGGGAGAAAAAGGTTTTGAACTTTTTGACCTTAAACAATTTCATCACATATATGTGCAAAAAAAATTGACAGAATTTTGCCTTTCTCTCTCAGCTAATCTTGAATTAACAGGAATCACTACCAAGAACAAAACAAAACCAATCACTTGAAATTCTCTCTTAAGAATGTAATGAAATAAGACTAAACTACTATACAGAGGATAGTGCTGGTCAGAATTTGTAAACTCAGGGTTGAATTGTAATAGTTCTAACTGATGGAGGAAAAGATGTAATGGCAAAAAGAACCCGGTACAATGAATGAATTCTTGTTCCCTTGATAACAAGGAGGGGTTCCCAAAGTGGACCCGTTCAGCCAGGCTGCTGTGAGGATCAAATGAAGCACACACCCTGCAACCACACTGCTCAGGCAGCCAGGCCCAACTTCTACCCTAGCCCAGGATGGGCAAATGACAGCCCACAAGCCACATCTAGCCGACCATCATTTTTGGTATGGCCCAGGAGCTAAGAACAGCTTTGCATTTTTTTTGTAATAATAGCTTTATTGAGATGTAATTCATGTAAATTCTCCATAAAATGTACCCCTTTAAAGTGCACAATTCAGGGGTTTTTATTATATTCACAGAGTTGTACAACCATCACCACAATCTAATTTTAGAATATTTTCCACACTCCAAGAAGAATCCTCGTACCTATTAGCAATCACCTCCTTCCTTTCCAATCCCCGGCAATAATTAATCTACTTTCTGTCTCTATGGATTTGTCTATTCTGAGCATTTCATAGGAATGGAATCATACAATATGAAGCCTTTTGTGATGAGCTTCATTCATTTCTTTCACCTTCACTCACTCACATGTTGTGGCATTTTAGCTGTGCAGAATCCATTTATTAGTTGATGGGCATTTTGGTTGTTTCTATTTGGGGGCTAGTATAAATAATACTGCTAGGAACATGTGTGCATAAGTTTTTGTGTGGACGTGTGCTTTGAGTTCTCTTGGGTGTGTACCTAGGAGTAGGACTGCTAGGTCATAATGGTAACTTTATGCTTAACTTCTGAGGAACTACCAGACTATTTTCCAAAAAGGCTACACTACTTTACATTCCCATTAGCGTGTTCTTACATTTTTGAATGGTTGAAAAAAAATCAAAAGGAAAAGAATATTTTATGACACATGAAAACTATATGAAATTCACATTTTAGTATCTATAAATAAAGTTTTATTGGAATGTAGCTATACCTATTCATTAATGTATTGGCTACGGCTGCTTTCACACTCCACCAGCCAAGTTAAGTAGTTTTTAAACCCTTGCCCTAGACTGATGCCTCCATCTAACTGTAATTCTCTTACACTAAAAACAGAAAAGACTGCACTTCTGATCAGATGGGATGGAACTTTCATTGACAAACACAAAATATGAAAAACCTTAACCTACTAATCTATATCCTTGGTCTTAGAGTTACACAGAAACCAGCCAACTAGAGAGTCATTTGCCTCACCTGGAGCTAGGGAGGAAAGGCATAGACTGTGGTCAAAGACAGAACTGGCCCTGCGGGACTATGAGCCAGGGGCTTCACCCGGAGGGATGGGGGTATGTTTCATATTTATACAATAATGATCGACAAGATGCTGAGACTGCCAGGTATATGTGCCCCTCGGACCCTCACACAGAGTAGAAGTCTGAGGAGAAAACAAAAGACTTACCTGCATCTGTCCTTTTGGTCATACAGGAATAGACGGAGGCCTGCAAATCACCCAAGGCCACGCCCACCTGTGTCCCCTTTGGGATTTCAAACCACGCATGGGAAGTTCTGCCTGCCTCGCTGGCAGGCTCTGCGATGTCAGGGAGCAGATGGGTGGGAAAGCCTGAGGCCCTCAGTCTGCAAACCGAAAGGGGACAGCGTATTTACTCGGTGCTTGGTTTTCTGGTTTCTGTTGTTTCCAGGAAACTCGGCAAAAGAAAGCACTATAGGATACAAACAGAAGGGAAGGTACGAGCCAGTGCTTTCACAGGGGTCTCTTTGGCTTTTTTAAATCCATGAGAAACAGGCTTGAGTTTTTTAGAGTAAATGCTGGCTTTCAAAAGCTTGGGAGTGGCCTCCGGGGGAAGAAAACAACCAGTTTAACCAGGGATGATCAAGAAGATTAGGTAAGAGGCATATAATATGGGGCACCCAGCCCCTTGTGTTTGAAGGGAACACAAACACTCTGCAGAGAGAGCTAGTCAGAGTTTCAGTGCAAAGTCACAGTTGGTTAGCACAGGCCAAACCAAAGTCAAACCCATCCATCTCCTGAATAACAAATGCATTCGTCACTCAGGGTTAGTGAACATGGGGCTGTCATTTTTATAAAACATGCTAGAAATTCCTTTACCTGAACTATCAGGTGCTTTTTGTTTTATTACAGAGCTCAGAATTGGGGCCCTGAAGGAAGTGAACTTATAGGGCACTGGACTTCTTGACCTGAAAAAGCAAATGGTTGTTTAAACAGAATTTAAAAGGCATCCCTCATACCTACTACTTTCATTTCACCTTATTTTAAACTATATTAAAAAGCAACAGTTGTTCATTGAAATCTATAGGCTGGGCCTGGGTCAGAGAACTGGGGAGCCCACCCTCGGTCTAGGTGACTGTGGAGGAGCCTCCCAAGCGCTTCTCTTGCCACCAGGCCCAGCCATGCCCAGTGACTGGAACAGGCTGGGGGCGTTGGCCTGATTCCTGGCCTCTTGGAATCCCCTGCTATTCCCAAAGGGGAAAGCTCTACTGAAGCGCTTACTCTAGAGGTTCTGCCCTTCAGCTGGGGCCAGCCTATAAGGTTATACTCACATCTCCAGGTTCCAGGTTTGGCTCCGGGTATTGAAATATCCCCAGCTAGCGGCATTCTGGTCTGACATCAGGGGTCTTGGCAAACCACACAGCATGGCAACCACATAGTCATGGATCGTGCCAGCTGCATCATAGGACTTCAGGAACTCTGGGCTGTGTTTCATACCAAAAACAGTTCAATGTGGTCTAATAGTGACTTGAAAGCATGTGCTGCACCTAGCTGTGGGCAGCGTGGACTAGATATGGCATAGTGGGGTGGTAGCCAGAACCCCACAGGCTATGGCTTCCCCAGATGGACTTCCTGAGGTGAGGCCCTTCCAGCTGCTCCAAGCAAAGCTTCCATTAGGGGAGGGAACTCAGGGGAGGATGTGCCCTGCCTGGGAAAGCAGGACATCAGCCGTTCTCAGCAGCCCTAGCCCCACCTAGCACCACATGACCCTCAATAAGTCCCTTGTCCTCTCTGGCCCCTTCTTTCTCTCTCTGGGTTAGAATAGAAAAGACAATAGAGAGTTCTCTGGGAAATGAAGCAGTTCTAGACCAAGTCTAGGTCTTGTGACCACTCACTGAAGGACAATCCATCATGTGGAGTGATGCTGACTGGCTAGAGGTACAGCACCCTTGCCACTCTCATTTCTCTGGAAATCCAGCACCCAAATCAAATAACAGTTGTCTGTACCTATTTTTCAAAAGCCAGAAGATAGTTGCACAGCCAAATCCTGTGGCCACATTGAGATGGGACTCCGGCTGGGGCAGAGAAGCCAGGAACCCGCTGCTACACCGGCCATCTTGCCATGTGACCAGGTGGCTCACAGCTCTGGGCTTGAATACAGGGGCAGCCCCTCCCTCTGTCCATTCACAGCCTGGAATAAAGGAGATTACCAAAATCAGAGAAAAGAGCAACTGGCCAGCACCAGCATGTCCTTGAGATAACTGCTAGTGAGGTTACAGCATAGACCTTATTACCCATGACAACACTTCACTCATACACATGGGTTCTATTATAAGAGCACCTGGGTTTAGCACCTGGCCCCACCACCAATAGCTATGTGACCATGGGCAAGTCGCTTACTCCTTCCATTTGTCTCAAATCTTCTATGTTCCTTTATATTCATTTTTTAAAGTTGATACCATATTTCCCCCAACCCCAGCTAAGAAAAGAACTGTGGTACACTCTCAAGTCTCTTAATCTCTGTCCTTCCAACCCTCGTCATGATGATATTATCTAGACTTGATTCTGGATGATTATAGATATATTTTCTCTTTTTCTTTGATCTTAGCTAATTAATTTTCAGACATCAAACTTTACTAACAAATCTGGCCATCTTTATTTCATTTATCTCTCTGGATTTTTCTCTGCTCTTATTGAAATATTTCACCCAAAACAGTGTAGATCTTTCCGCAGCAAAGTATCTGACGGCCTATTGCCTCAGGACATTTTTTCATATCCTCATATTTGAATTACAGTTTAATCAGTTATAATATCCTAGGTTCTAAGTTCTTTTTCTTCAACACTTCGAAACACCATCTGTAGATTTGTGGTAGATTGCTGCAAATTACTTGCTTCTCCTCCCATTAAGCAATAGAGTCTAAATCTTCTTTCCTAGAATCTGAGTTGGACCTGGTGCCTTGCTTGAGCAAAACAAATATGGCAGGAGTGACATCTTAGGACTCCCAAGACTAGGTATAAGAAGATTTGCAGCTTCCACCAGAGCCTCTCGGAGAGCTCATTCAGGGGAAGCCAGATGCCATGTAAGAAGTCTCACTATTCTAAGGCCACCAGGCTGGAGAGACTGTATAGAAATCATATGTAGGCATCTGGCAAAACATCCCCAGCTGAGCTGAGCCTTCCAGCCTTCCCCATCAAGGCACCAGGCATTCTGTAGAGCCATCCAGAACCCTCCAGACCAGTCGTTCCACCAGATAAATACTCCCAAGCATCTTCCATCAACTCCATATAGAGTAGATCAGTCAGCTGAGCCCTGCTCAATTTCTGCCCTGAGATTCAAAAAATATGATTAAATAGTTACTGTTTTAATCACTGAGTTTGGAGGTAGTTTGTAATACAGCAATACACAACCAAAATACTATTCCATTGCCTTTTTACATAGAATATTGCTGTTGAAAAAAAAATTAACATCAATCTGCTTCTAATTCTTTTACATGGGATCTTCTTTCACTTGGTAAGCTTTTGGAATTTTCTCTTTGTCTCTGAAATCCTTAAAAATTTACTACAATAGCTATAACTGGGGTTTTCCTTCCATCTCTTCTTTGACATTCTACAGGCCCTTTCAGTCTGGGGCATTATACTTTATTTTGTCAATTATGGAAAAATTTTCTCCATTCTTCAAATTTTTTCCTCCTCTACCACTTTTATTTTTCCCTTTTTGGGTCTCCTATTATTCAGATGCCAGTGCTCCTATTTGAATCCTCAATGTTTCTTAGCTTTTCTTTTATATTTTCTACTTCTTTGTCTTTTCTTTCTTCCTTCCGAGAGATTTCCTCAATCTGACCTTTCATTCTCTATTTGTTCTGAAAGTTATCATTTCTGCTATTAATCCCATCTATTACATACTTTATTTCAACTATTATATTTTTCTTATCTAATATTTCTGCTTGGTTCTTTTTTATGTCTTCTTCTTATTGTTTCCTTGCTAATATCTTTTAGTATTATGTCAACCTAATTTTAAATTCTTAGTCTGTCCATTCTAAGAGTTCTGCTTCTGATAGAATCTCCATCAAATAACTCAGTATGGTGTTTTTCTTGTGAAACAGTTGTACTCTTCAAATATCTTCTTGTCCTGGCTTGTGAAATCATTTTGCTTTGGGAATATTGGTTACTTTGTCAGGCAATGTGTAAATGAGCCAGACCTCAGTCCCTATCAGCCCCAAAGGGCTGGGGAGGACAGAAGAATGCTAAGGTGGATCCACAGATAAGCTATCTCCACCATGCAAAATATCTCCTCAGGTCAGGGTTTCCCCTCTGCCCTCCAGGAAGAAACAATATTATGAAGATCCTTAGATCATAGGTCATCAGCCCTGGGGTTTGGACAGGGACACCTATTTTTCTCCACTGCCTTGATTTTATTCCTGAAGACACCTGAGTTCCTATGGGTATGGAGACAGGTGCTGCTTATTTCAAAGCCATGGCAAGCCAGGGGAATCAGTGGTCTCCCTCCCAATTTATCCTCCCACAGGCAAGGCTGGCTGCCTCTTGCCCCAGATCCAAGCCCGCACATACTAGCCCCATCACCCCAGGCTTTCTCAAAGTGTTCTCCCCTTTCCCTGGTGTTTTTCCCTTGTGATTTCTCTGAAACCCATCTTGGGGGAAAGAAATCAGCAGTCAAGCTAGTTCAGCATCTTGTTGGAAACTGCATCTGTAAGTCCAATGGTAGAAGGCACTTATAACTGTTTCCTGAATTCTGGTGGCTCCTCCTGCCCATGTGTTGACTTTACTCTCAGGCCAGTAGCAAAGGGAAGGGTTAGAGTTAGAGTTAGAGTGCTGTGTGTATACATAATACACAGAGTTTAGAGTTGTATGCATTAAATGAGTTAACACATGTAAAGCACTTAGAACAATACCTGACACATAGTAAGTACCCAGTTCATGTTTTATGATCATAATGATGATGATAATAAACCTTTACCTTCTAAATTCTGTCTGTGGTCTAAGGTTTTTCCAGCAGCCTTTAGAGAATATACCCCATTATATATCTGTTGTTCTCTCTTCTCATATAAGCGATATTTCCCATACCTCCAAGCAACATAAACACAACTACTGCAGCAGAATGGGAAAAGAATGTTGACAGTCAAGAAAAGTTATCAGCAGTCAAGAACACTCCAAATCTAATGGATGGAGGCGAGGCTCCGGCCCCACTGCTGAACAGTGCTGCCATGAAGCAAAGCAGGGCAAAGCCCCACATAAAGCTGTTTCATGATTGTATCTGATCTCAGGCTACAGATTTGGGAACCAAGACCATTATACATTTTCCTATAAATTTGCTCATTAAGAACCAAAGAAAGAGATTTAACTGCCTTTCAGGCCATGAAACATCCATCCATTCATTCATACATGCATGATTGAATGACATATTTATTATCTAATATGTATTAGGCACTGGTTCTAGTCTCTGAGATTACAGTTGTGAACAAGGAAAAGTCACCGCCTTCATGAAGCTTGTATGCTAGAGATATAGAATACAAACAAGCAAATACATAATACCAGGTACTTTTAGTTGCTTTGAAGAAATACATAGCAGAATAAGGGGATAGTATGATAGACTGTTGGAGGGTGATCAAGGAAGTCCTCTTTGAGGACACATGTGAGGAGGGACCTGAATGGAGGAAGAGAGTGAGCCATAAGAATATCTGGGGACACGTGTTGCAGATAGAGTGAACAGCCAGGCAAAGGATCTGAGGGAGCTTGTCAATCTCTGTTAATATACCTGGCCATTACCCAGAAGAGCAGGGAGGCATGTTATAGATGCATGCACCTGAGCATATCATGTTTCACCTGGGGAGGGTGGGGATGGGTCCTCCTCAGAGTAGTCTACCCTCACAACTACATTTCTACCTAAACTTAAAGCTAGGATGCTCATCCAGCCCTAAAGGTAGATCTCTGTAGTGTTTTTTAACCCCTTTATTTGCTTCCAAAACTCTTTTCTTTTTTTTTAATTTTTAGACGATCATTACTTTTTTGTTTGTATTATGAAACATATGGAGTTCTTATCATGTACTGGGTTTTGTTCAAAGCACTTTAAAAAGATTAATTCATTTAATCTACATAATAGCTTTATAACATATGTGATAATTATCCCCATTTTATACACAATAAAAATGAAGAACAGAGAAGTTAAAAATTTTTTTTCAAAGGTCACCTAGCTACTGAGTGGTAGAACCAGGATTTAATTTAGGTGGCCTATTTCAGAATCTTGCCTGGTATATTTTTTCCTTTTTTCTTTCTTCTTTTTTTTTGGGGGGGGGGTATAAAAATTGATATACTTTTAATTTTTTAACTACATAAGTGATAAGTGAATGTATTCTCAACGTAAAATGTTCAAAGATTATAGATAAAGCAAAAGGCCAGCTTAACCATCCCCGCCTGAGCCTCAGCCCCTTCCTCTCACCCTCAGCACTCGCTGGGTAACCATCCAAAGTTTTTACACTTACACATATTTTATTTGGTTTGGTTGATTTGGGTTGGGTTTTGTTTTATTTTGTTTTTGTCTATTTTCAAAAAACAAATAGCGTTATATTGTATTTATTTTTCAAGGGGTTGTCTTTATCATTCAACACGTTCCACAGTTCTTTCCATGTCAGTATACATGAATGCACCTTATTCTTTTTAACTACTGTATACCATTCTACAGTATAGACACACCAACATTTATTTAATTAACCATTCCCCTTTGATTAAATGTCACTTTTCACTACTATAAACAAGGGTAAGGGGTGGCTCCATAGTGTGGTGGTTAGCACGTCTGCTTTACACACAGAAGGTCCCAGGTTCGCACCCCAGGTAGAGCCACAGACCATACCCTGGGTGTGCCAGGCCCCGGATGTGCCAGGCCCCGGATGTGCCAGGCCCCGGATGAGCCTGGCCCCAGATGAGCCTGGCCCCAGATGAGCCTGGCCCCAGATGAGCCTGGCCCTGTGTGCGCCAGGCCTCCCAGGTACGCCAGGCCCTGGGTGTCCCTGGGTGTGTGCCTTCAGTGCATGGGAGGAGACGCCTCGCCTTCAGAGATCAGTTCTTAAGGGGAGATGGCAATATCCCTACCTCAGGGATAGAAGTCAGCATAGATGGGCACCAGTAACCTGAGCAGAGCGGGGTGGTGAGGGAATTAAAGAGGGGAAAAAAAATAAAATAAAAATAAACAAGGGTAAAGTGAACAACCATGATTGTGCCTCCTTATGCACACACATTAAACCACTTTTCCTGAACAGATTCCAAGTAGCATCGCTGTTGAATCATAGCAGCTATATCTTTTTTTCTTTTAGTAGCAGCTATCTTATTCTTAACAGGCCCTGTCAAATTGCCCTCCAAAATGGCTATGCTGATTGACACTATCAACAGCGGTATTTTAAAAAACTAACTTTCTACCCCATTTGCCAACTCTTGACATCATCAAATTTTGATTTCTTACAATCCAGTGGGAGAAAAATTATTTCTCATTGTTGTTTTCATTTGAGTGTCCCTGATTATGAATGACACTAGCACCTTTTCATATGCTTATTAGCCATTTGTATTTCCTGTTCTAAGAACCCCCTGTCCTTAACCTTTGCCCATTTCCCACAGGGCTATCTGTCCTTTCTTTGTTATTAGTTCTTTATATGTACCCACATTCCTGAGCTGTCTGCCATACACTAGCAAATATTTCCTCTGGTGTGCTGCTTGCCTTTTAGCTTGGTTTTATGATACTCACTTCTCTCCTGCTATTACTGAGCCTGAAAATAGAGTCTGGAAACAGGCATAACCACAGGCCTCTCAGAAGACGCTAGTCATTCCCTCTCCTCTCCTCCAACTGGCTTGCTTGTACCCTCATAGAAGCACTTAGCTCTCTGCTCAGGTTACTGGTGCCCATCTATGCTGACTGCTTTGAGTGTGCCCTGGAAAGTGAGGGCCTCAACCAATCCTTTCTATGTCTCCCGCGGGGCCCAGCACAGAGCCTTATATATTTAAAGTACTGAACTCAAACTGAATTATGACCGCCATTAAAAACAGAACAACTTGATCCAAAATATGATTTCACCTAACTCTGCTAAGCAGGTATCATCATCATCAAACAGTGGCTTTCCTCCTTCCCAGAAACAGAAAACAAAACAAGAAGGCATGTGGGCTGGCTCAATGAAATATTCAGCAGCTATCTCCAACAATGTGAGCAATGGTTTGTGTGGTTGTTACAGAGTCCAGGAGATGGGCAGAAAGGAAGGCGTGTGACCAGACCACAATCATTAGATCTCTGCTGTCCTCTTTGTGAAGGGTTTTAGTATTAAAAGGACATTTATTCTCGTTAATGCAAAATTAAGGAGTTTAAAAAGCTTTTACAACCTAGACTCCCTCTGAGAGGTCAGCTCTAACACCCTAATCAGCCTTCTTCTGCTACTGATTAGAGTGAAGCAGCTCCAGAGGCCCCAGCTGGCCTGACAACAGGCAGATGAGAGGGCAGGAAGGAGGAAGAGAGCCTTTGCTGGCTTCTACGGGTACCCAGCCCATTCTGGGGACCGATCAAATGATGCATCACTAGGCATCAGTCATGCTGCTGAGGAGCAAGTCACCACTCAGCCCAGTGGAATCAGAATCACTGACTCTCCAGGCAGGAAGGGGTGAATCCAACATTCAAATCCCCTTAACTACAGCTCCCCAAAATAGCCATCCATCCTCTGCTTAAAACACCTGCAGTAAAATGTTGAAGCTGGGTAACGTGTATGTATTGGTTCATAATACTATTCTGCCTACTTTTATGTCAATATAAATTTTTTTATTTAAAAAAATATTTTTCAATTCTTTCCATAATAAGAAGCATAAAACTTCCTATAGGAGCCTAATCTTTCCTTGGACATTCTGTTAGGAAGTTCCTCCCTTCACTGAGTTATTGTGCCTTCCTGTAGCTCTGGTCCTCCCAGAGCCCTTTAAAAGCTCAGCATCTGTATTCAGATATACCTGGGTTCAGAAGCTGGAGTCACTACTTGCTGCCATATGACCTTGAGCCTATTATTTTAACCTCTCCAAATCTCAACTTTTCATCTGCACAATGGGGACAGTAATGTAACCTATGTCATAAGGGTGTTGGGAAAGTTCGATGAGATCATACAGGTAACATCCTTAGCCAAGCACCTGGCATGCAAAGTGCTCATTGCTATTTCACTGGCTTAATTCTCCTCCTGGAGGCCAAACAGAAAAGATCATCCACCTCTGCACTATGGCAGATCTCCTGATATAAGACAACCAACTAAATAATGCTTAGCTAGCAACTGAGCCCTGGAATTTAAAAATCAAAGATATCTGTGGTTATGTTAAACAACAAAAACTACACCCCAATTCAGAGGCATCTCCTCAGTGTCTTGGCATTTCCTACAGCTACACTAATTTCTTGGTTGTCGACAGTGATGCTCTGAGACACTGACACAGATAAAGAGAAAGAGAAAGAGAAAGCTGTGGGAAATCCACTCCATGGAACGCTACAGAGAATCAGAGAGAACTCACTCTTCTCCCTCTCCCTATTCTTGGCCAATGTGTTAATAATGTGTGAGTGGACAGTTCACTTACTCATTACATATTTGTACCAGACAGGATATACACAAAATGCATGTGCCATTGCATTTCTCACTGCAGGACAACCTGATCCTTCACAGACAGCTCTTGGCAGCACTTTTCTCATTCCACAGTCACTGTTACCATGTGATGCCTGGAGCCCTCCATACCTTGGCCTGTTTTCCAAAACAGGATTCCATGCATCTGTCCTGACACTCCGATGGCACAGACTTTCCGGAGCTGCTGCTGGGGAAGGGCAGCAAGACATTCGTTTAGGGCTTGGATGATTCTATTCACATCCTGCTCCTGCGCCTAGAAACAGAACAAGATATTTCAAGCAAGGGCATACATACAGACAGGCAGGCAGAAGTGGACAGAGGCTTCAAAGGATTTCCTGGGTGGTGGCTGCCCAGCTAATTCCACAGGGATCACGTGCCGACTGGCCTCAGGAAGGCGATGTGAGACTAAGGGTTCTCTACCACCTCCAGCAGGGCTTGGAGTAGGAATATGGTGAGCAAAGTTCCATGCCTTCCCTTCACAGATGAGGCACTGCTGCAGATTAGGTTCAGCAAATAGCCCAGGCTCTGCCCTCCACTGTGGGTGGGTACAGCTGAGAAAGCACTCCCCCTGCCCTACAAGAACTTACAGTCCAGCAGGAAGGACAAGGCAACACAAGACAGACTATGCTCTAAGGAGTGGTAAGGTAAGAGTCTTTTGCAAAGCACATAGTGTTGGGATAGGAGACGATAGAACACAGCAGGGAGGAATCTGGCAGGAAAGATGTAGCCAAGAAAGGCCTCAAGGAATAAAGCACCTTAGGATGAGCTCTAGTGTTTGCTTTTACCTGGGTTTTAGTTCGTCCATCTGGCAAACATTTCCTGAGTGACCTGAGGGCCAAGCCCTGGAAACAAAAACCCACCTAGGAAAGGCAGGCATGGAAGAAGGCCAGGAAACACTTGGGCACAGAAGCAGTGGAATGGGCTGTACGAGAAAGTGGTAGAAGATGAGGCTGTAAAAGAGGAGAGGCTAGGGTCCAATCAGCTGGCCGCAAGCCCCAGAGCGAGGGGCTCTTTCTAAAGGTAATAGGGAGCTCCTGGGGCTTTCTGAATGGAAGAGTATCATCATCAGAGCTATGTTTTCAGAAGATTAATTGGGCAATGATAGAAGCTACACAGAGAGAAACCGATAGCGTAAACAGATTTCGGGGGATGGAAAAAAAATTCAACAAAGTCAGGACCATCTTTTCCTGACTTGCCGTTTCTTCCAATTTACTGCCTCCTTGAAAACTTCCCTAAGCAGAATAACTTTGAAAGACAAACTTATGAGATAAATAGAATGTAATCAAATAGCATATTAATAAGAGTCGAATGGTCCTAAGAGACAAGGATATGAAAAATATGCAGGATTTGGAAAAAACTTCAAAGGTCTTCAGAGTCAGATGGGAAAATGAATTGGGTATCTCAGAGCTAAAGAAATGCTAAATCCACTCAAGCACTATCTCCAAATGGGTGTCAGGTACAGACTAAGTTCCGAAGTAGGAACGAGGTGACTCAAACCTAAGAAATTTGGATTCCGTAACCACCTTCTCTTTTAAATTATGAAGTCCCTGTTAGAGACCAGGAATATGACTCCAGGTTCCCACCTCATCCCCAGTAGTTGCCTCTAACCAGTAAGAAGTCTCAATAAGCTAAGGCAGCCACCACAAAATATGCACTTGGGAAAGCAATCCAAGTGACATTATTGTTTTCTTGGTAAATAGGTAAATTTCAGAGTGAAAAGATCAAGAATTAAATATATCTGTGTTTAAAAGAATCATACCTATGTGATTAATATTTGTGCTTAAGAAATCTTTGGGTATTTGGCATTTTAAGTAAATTTCTATGTTAAAGAGAATTTGGCCTAGATTACCTTTGTAATTCCAATTTAAAATGTGAAATTGAAAAAATAAAAAACAAAAACAAAGAAAAAGATAAAAAATAAAATGTGAAATTGAGTAACTGATCTAGATTTGTTACTACAAATTTAAATCTCATGATATGTGTAAAAGGATTTGAAACATGTTAGAACATTTGAGGTTTGCACAGTTATACACTTATTACATTTATAAGAATTATTTAAGTATTCTGAAAAGACTTAGGTTGGACAACTGTAGTGCCTAGAAAAAATGTATTAAATGTACATTAATGTAACTGCAGTTTAAAACATCTGAGGTATTTAATTAACTAAAACAGGATTAAGTATTATTCAAAGACCTTCAAAATGATGGTTAAGTGTTAGACGTAAATGAAATAAGCTTTATAAGGTAAATTAAAAGCTTAAGTAAAAGCTAGCATTTTGAATTTCAAAAACTGAATACTCATTTCTATTTCAATCAAAGTAAAATGTTTCTGCCACACGAAAATCACCTCGAGTCACAAAACACACTTATATTTAACACCCAGAAGGAAAACTCAGATGAGAAAAAAATGTAGCTCAGCTCTTCATAAATTTAGTATGTTCACTGGGGAACTGAAAAAAACTTATGTTCTTGGAAAAGCATCTGAAAACTGCGCCCTCAAACCCCTTGCTTCCCTCCTGGGGAGGATGCTGCTTCCCCTCCTTGGAACAAACCACTCACTTGGCCCATCAGCCTGCTGACCTGGGACTGGGGCAATTCTTGGCTCCTAATAAGCATGAACAAAGGAGTAAAAAGGAAGATGAAGAGGAATAGAACCGGAGAAGAAGGAGTAAAAAGGGAGCACAAAGCATTTTCCTGTGGAGGCAAGCTGAGATCCCAGTGAGACTCTTTATATATAGGAGAAACTACAGCAGAACTGACTTGGCAGTGAAAGACAGGCAAAGAGGAGGTGTGTGGCTGTGCATGATCTCCCAAGGAAGGAAGAAAGAAGAGAGTAGAGGAAGGAAGAAGGAAGCAGGGAAAAAACATATGTTTAGACATGCACTCTCCAATAATGCAGTCATTTGTCACATGTGCCTAACCTGAATTGAGATGTGCAGTAAGTGTAAAAGACCAGATTTCAGATTTAGTATGAAAAAAAAGAATGCACAAAGTCATTATAATTTTACATTAATTATTACATGTTGGAAACATTGGGTTAAATAAAATATGCGATTAGAATTAATTTCACTGGTTATATTTTACATTTTTTTAATATAGCTACTAGAAAATTGAAAATTATAGGTGTGGCTCACATTTGTGGTTCAAATTTCTATTGGACGGTGCTGATTTAAAGAGTTCCCATGTGGCCATCAGATGGTGTATCTGGACAGAGGAGCTGCTGTTTAAAATGGGCCCAGGGAGGGTGAGATGTATGGGTGGGATGCTGGAGAAGAGAAACAGGGCAGATGGGAGTGAAGTCAAGGAGACGTCAGTGTTCAGCGGTTAGTTCGAGTTTTAGTAATGCATATGATGGAGGACAGATGATGGGTATACCCATAATGTAACAGGAAAGGAAGTGCCCCCATTCCTTGGTTCAAAATATTAATTGATCTATATCCAGACCAAATCCTAGACTTTAGATTTGGAAAAAAACCTTATAGATTCATTCAACCCTCCTCATTCACACCCCTTTTTACGGATGAGGAAACCAAGGCCCAGGAAGAAAAACTTAATAGCTCAAGAGAAGTCACAGAGCATCCCTTAGAAACCCTAGTTGCAAATACCTAAAAGCCTGACCTTCCACATAGCTGCCAAGTTTGACAATGGTGTACACGATACTTCTAAAGAGTAAGAAGTATGGTCATGAGGAACGAACAAAGCCATTGGGTATTTCTACAGATCAGTGGTTCTCACCCCAGCAGTGATTTTTGTCCCCTAGGGGACATTTGGCCATATGAAAACATTTTGGGGTGTCACAACTGGGGATGAGGGATGTAGTGGCATGTAGTGGGTTAGAGGCCAGGGATGCTGCTAAATATCCTACAAGGCACAGAACAGGCCACCACAACAAAGAACCTTCCAACTCAAAAAAAAATCAACAGTGCCATGGTTGAGAAATCCCAATATGGATGAAATTACAGGAATATTGTTTGTCCCAGAGTACAACACGCATGTAGGGGACACGAGGGGGGTTATTACTGGCCTCCCTTAAACTCCTCATTAGGCAGGTGTGGTGCACTGGATGTGCTTGTAAACACACAACAGCCTGTTGAATGCTGGGGAGAGTGGAAAAAGTAATGTTCAAGAAGTGGCCCTATTTTAAGAGAAAAGGGCACTGCCTAAGCCCACTTCCTATAATCCTGGCTCTGCTGCTCACCTTCACAGAGTAGCAGCTGACTTTGCCTCCATCTCACAATACATGAAGTGAAATAATCATTCTAAAATGTCCTAATGCTCCAACCAAACTAATTTTGAAAGTCTCTGTGAAAATGCAAAGTGCTCCTGAAACCTTTATCCTCTAAAATGCTTCCGAGCGAGATGGACTCTGAACCCCAAAGAACTGAGTCCAGATATGTGGCAAGAGCTTGGGAAAAACAAAACTCTTAGAAGTGGGGCTTGGCTCAGAAAATCAAGGTTTGTGGCTAGAAGAGGCCACAGAGGCCACCTATTTAAACTCAGAGAAGAACAAGCTGAGATCCAGAAGAAAAGACATGAAGTTACTCAGAAAGTTCCTAGATATTCATTTCTATTTTCAATTAACTGTAGAGCTACCTTTTTCAGAAAATTAATGGAATCCAGCTCTGAGGATTGATATCCTTTCTGAAGCCATATCTCACACCAGAGCTCATTGTGGTGAAATTCTCCATTTCTATCTTGTAGCTTTCACAAGTAATGTAGTGTATGACTACCAAATTTTACAAGATAACGGTTGTAGTGCATAATTATCAATCTGATCTTTTTCTAATCAAGGTATCTCTCAATGTCTGTCTTTTCTCCAAGGTCTTTCTGTCTTTCTCCAAGATATCTCAGCCTTTAGGGACTTGGGGAGGGGGGTGAGACTTTTGTTGATCAAGTCTCTTTGAGTTCCTCAGTCCACATTCCACTCTAGTTGAGCCTGATTCTGCATCTGATTTCCAGAGGAAAACCCAAATTTTGCCCTGGGGAACAAACTGAATCCTGAACTTGGGGACACTGGCAGGTGTGAGGGACAGAGAGCGGCAAGAATGAGGTGGAGGCCTATGGTCCTTCCACATGACACAAGGAGAGGAATTCCCCGCAGGTCAGGGTACAGAAAGTGGAGGACAGAGAGCACGGATACAGTGCCATGGGCAAGGCTCCTAAAGGGAAGCCAGAGTGGGAGATCGGTGCCAGCAGGTAGTAAAGCTACTGGGACCAGGCCTAACGGATCAGGGAGCTGCAGCAGACAGGCGGAGGTCAGGCACTCTGGAGCAGTCAGGGAGACTTCCTTGAGGAGGAAGAGGGTTATCAGGAGGCTCCTGCAGGCTGCGCGGCTCCGGGGCGCTGCCTCACCTGAGGCCCGGCCGCAGCACTCTGGGCCGCCACCTCGGCCCGCGCAGCCCGGACACAGCTGGCCAGTACCACGAACCCCGATGGGTCGCCGGGTGCGTCCTCCACCACGGCCGCCTTCACAGACGTGGTGCCCAGGTCGATGCCGAGAGTGACCGACGGTGCAGCCATGGCCGTGGGGACCAGCGCAGATATCCTCTGCGGCGGAGGCGCCCCCTCCCGCGCACTTCCCCTGGAACTGAGGTGCCGAGGCGGGACCTCGCCTAACAATCCTTCAGCCACACGCAAAGTGAAGCTGCTCGTCTTCCTATTGGTCGAGGTAGGCGGAGCCCCGCGTACGTTGCGGCATGCCGGTCCATAGGCGGAAAGGCGGAGAAAGGCGGGACCAAAAGGGTCCCGCCCCGTGGAGATGGGGGGTTTCAGGACCGTGGCGACGAGTACGTCAGGACAGCGCCTGCCTCACTCTCCAAAGTGATGCAAGGTTCGCCGACAGGCGCTTGGGGCTCTGAGAGTCTGTGTCCCTAAAAATGGCTTGCTTAATACTCCCTCACACCCGAGCTTCCATTCCTGCCAAGGTGCCTGCGCCCCTCCGCTCCTCCTCTATCCTGCACAACTGTCCGGCTAAGCCTCGTGAAAACTACAGTTCCCACAGTGCATCGCTCCGCGATAGCAAATCAGGTGACTCGGGTCAGATGGCTTCGGGTCTGCGCTCACTCTCAGTCAAACCGGCCAGAGAAAACGGGTACAGTCTGAAGCGTCTTCTACATCTCGTGTGGTCAGTCTCCAGAGCCTCAGAGGTTCTCAGGTGAGAGCCGGTGCGGTCCCGACAGCCTCCCGCCATTCCCCAGGTGGACCCCCGAGGCCTAGAGACTGGTACAGCAAGTTTGTTGGGCGCCTTCTGCAAATCTAGACCCCCTCGACCTGCCAGGGTTCCACCAGTCTCGGCCTTGCGATACCGGACATTCTCCAGGTTCCAGGGCCGGGATACTGGTGAGCGGAGGCAGGGTTCATCAGGCTGCGGAGGTGGTATGGGTGACACTACCCCAGTGCAGGTCCGAGCCCCTACTCCACCTTCTGTTTAGTTGCCGCCTGAATCTGAGTCGTGGAGTTTGCAGATTGCTTTGGAGAGGGGAGACAGTTAAAGCACCATTCCAGGAACTCCCGTTGGCTTGCTGAACTCTAGGCTGAGGTCCAAGGGTGTGGACAGGATGAGACCCCGCCTCACCCTCCGGGACTTTCTGGCTGAAGGAAGGTAGGACAACTGGGCCCTTTCGTTTTCAACGATTTTGAGGAAAATAACAACCCTTAGACTTTTATCCCAGAACAGGGAATGAAATTAATTTCCTTAAGGTTTATAGGTTCACAAAGTCAAATATCTGACCACAGTTTTAATAACTGGGGGAAAAGGGGGCCCTCAGCTAATAAAACTGCATTCTTTCTTTCTATTAACTAGGTTGCAAGAAGCAGTTAAAGAGGGAAAAATTCAGTGTTTGCCCACTTCCTCAGAGTGGGATCTTACACAACCCACTTAGTCTCTGTGGGCCCATTTCTCCACATATCAAAGAAAGATAAGTCCTCTCTTGGGTCCTTTTCTCCAAGCTGGTGATGCAAAGCTCATGAGGTCACAGGTGTGAAGTGAAAGTCCTTTATGAACTGCCCATGTCATGGTTCCAGGTGGCATATTATCCACTTGCTGCTGAGCTGATCCAGCTTTAACCCTAACTTCTCTTGCTATTTGTTTTTCTTCCTAGTTCTTTGAAATCAAGGAACATGATAAGGAGTTGGCTGATTATTTTTATGCTTTTTCCCATGAAGCTCATAGAAAAATGTGGTAAGTTTAGAAATGGGTCATTAGCTTTGTAAAGAGGACAGTGATGCTATAGCGTAAGTAGCCTGACATGTTTGTAGCCAAGGGTTTAGGACTGTCCAGACTGTATGTACTTGCCTGCCCCTTAGTCAGGCAGCCACTGGGTGGTGAAGCAGACCTAGGTCTTGGGTCCAGGAGTTTTACAAGGAGTCAGATGGTTCTGTAAATAATTGGCCTTCTGCCTTGGAGTCTCTCTACCTTGTCTGTATTACCAAAATCAAACTGTGGGATTCCAAATTTCTGAGATAATTTCTGTAAATGGCTTATGTTTCCGTGGACCTCACAGAGGGAATTATGGGTCCTAGGAGGTGCTGCAGAAGCAGGTGATGTGGCCACCTTGTTGTGCCTGGATCTTCCGGGCCACAGACACCTAAAGAGTCTGCCCAGCATCCCCTCATAAAATCAGAAAATCTTTCCCTTCGAGAGGGACTGAGGAATAGGGCTCGGCCTCAAAGAATACTGGCTGGTTGTCAAAAAAAGAAAAAGAAGAAGAGGGTTTGTACATCTTGGAGGGTTTGACTTTCAGAGCACGGCCCTTAAAGACCTGCGTCATTCTATCAGTTCTCCCACTACCCAAAACATGGCTAAAATTATTCCATAAAAGCAATTTGTGTTGACCACTCTTAGGACCCCAGGCACATTATTTTGATTATTGGCTTGGCTGTTGTCAGAAATCAGATACATCTTAAAATCCCTGACTAAATGTTTCAAATGAACCTTGTAGAAACAATACAAATCCTGTGGAAGCTTCCCAAGGGCCAGGCACAGTGCCTGCACCATTACAGTTTTCTGGCCTCTTCAATCTCTGAGAAAATAGTCATCTGATCACCTCTTCCAGGTCTGTTAAATAAGCAGTCATGTTATTTTGCAGTTACACCTTGTGGATAAACAATTTCCAAAAAATGAAAAGTCAGACCAGGAGGACTGCTGTTTCTCAGTACAAATGACAGAGCCCCACTACAGACTTGCTGGGTCGTATTCTTTGGGATGAGGGCCCAGTATGTGTATGTACACGTGCATTTGCAGGCTTTAAATAAAGCTTCCTTAGTAATGCTAATGCATTACTCTAGGGAAAAACAAATCTACCTCAATTATATAGAGGGGAAATTTAGTCCCAGAGAGGGTAGAAGTCTTCCCCAAAGTCACAGACCTAGAAAGGGGACCAGCTTAGGGTCCCTGCTGCATTTTATTACTTTGCCTCCTTTCCCGAATGTTGTTTTAAAGAACAGTGGAAACCACCATAAAATCAAGTAACTGGAATTGGCTTTTTGACCTCATCCTGCCTGGCCTGCTCTCCTTTTGCTTTGGAGAGTCATCACTGGGGACCATAGATGAGATGATTGGTCTTCAGAGTATTTTGTCTATGACTTGTTTGGGTGGAATCTTGAGGCACTGAGACCTAGTGTCAAGAACCTGGGCTTTAGACCAGACAGTTTGAATCCTGCTGCCACCTTTTCTGAGCTACGTGGACAAGACACTTTCTCTTGCATTCTCAGTTTCCTTGTATCTGAAATAGGAATCATAGTGCCCACCTCTCACTGTTGTAATAATTAGAGAATGGGAGTTAACAGTATAGCAGAGTGGCTGGTGTGGGGTGAGGAGCACAGTAAGAGGTGCCAATAAGTATTAATTAAAAAAAAAAAAAAACAGACTCTCCCTAGGGGAAACTTGGGGTGGTCCATTAAGACTCATTTGGTAATTCTGATGTGGTGTCCAGAGATTCGTGCCTCAAGGCACTTTAAAATGCTTTCCCATGGACGTAGTTAGCACATCTGCTTTACACACAGAAGGTCCTGGATTCGCACCCCAGTGGAGCCACAGTCCATGGTCTATGGCCATGCCATCCTAAATAAGCCCGATGTCTGATCTTAGAAGCTAAGCAGGGTCGGGCCTGGTTAGTATTTGGATGGGAGACCACCTAGGAAGACCAGGTGCTGTAGGCATAAATAATAATAATAAATAATAAAAATAGGGTGGTTCCATGGAGTAGTGGTTAGCACATCTGCTTTACACGCAGAAGGTTCTGGGTTCGAGGAGGAGATGCCCCGCCTTCAGAGATCCAGTTCTTAAGGGGAGACGGCAATATCCGTAGATCAGGGGTGGAAGTTGGGGGGAATAAAAAATAATAATAATAATAATGATTAATAAATAAATAAATAATAAAATGTGTTTTCCCAAGATGTGATGCCAGCTTCCTAACTGCCTCCTATCTTGAGCTAAAAAAATGTTCTGTGTTCTTTACATGATGATAAGAATAGTCACCAGGCTATGTGGAAATTATTTAGCACTCAGGCCATGTGGAGAATCACAAACATCACCACTTTATCTTCACGATGCCTTGTGAGATAGGTAGTACTATTGTCCCCATTTTACAGGTGAGGAAACAGAGGCTTAGAGAGGTTAAGTACAGCTAGAAAGTGACAGACCCAGGATGGATCTGTTTGACTTCAGAGCCCAGTCTCTCAGCTGCTGAGCACCATTGTCTTTAGTGCCACTAAGAGGGAAGTAAACATTTCTTGATCTGGTTCTTGGAGAGTTTACAGCATCTTTTAAAATATAAAGACATGGGGGTGGCTCCATAGTGTAGTGGTTAGCACGTCTGCTTTACACGCAGAAGGTCCTGGGTTCGTGCCCCAGGTGGAGCCATGGACCATACACACCAGGTGCGCCAGGCCCTGGGTGTGTGACTCAAGCGTGTGGCGGGGAGACACCCTGCCTTCAGAGATCCAGTTCTTAAAAACAGGAAACAGCAACATCCATAGGCCAGGGGTGGAAGCGGGGGGAATTGAAGAGGGGGGGAAAAATGTAAAGACAGTAGGAAAGCAAAGGCTATGGGGATCTCTCACTCACCCTGACCACGGTCACAACAGAACCCTGAGGACCCAGAGGTGTTGGTGGCTGCCTGGCATCACTTTCAATAGCCCTGCTCTGGGCACTGTCTTTTCAGGGTCTTGCAGGAAGTATGAAAAAGAAGAAGCAGAGTTGGCAAAGTTGCCTCCGAGCCCTGAGGCTACAAGTAAGGGAGGGGCCATCCTACTGTGCTCTGAGCAGCTCAGCCTCTGGGGTGATTAAATGCCACTCTGAGAAACTCGGGTTGGGGGGCTGGAGACCTGAGGCTGTGGGAGTCAGCTTAGAGACTTGCGGACACAGGACAGAGCATGTATCTGCATTAACGCAGGCAGGGTTAGCCCGGAGAAGGTGTTTCAGATGGGGTCTGAGAGGTCCCAGGTGGCTAAGCCAGGCCCAGGAGTGCAAATTCCAGATTGGCTCACTCCCTTGGAAGAGAAGAGGTTACTTTTCCTTAAGGTGCCCAGAGGAAGAGAAACTGCCAAGTAGGAGTATTGAGAAGGGGGATCAGACAGAGGAGGCTGAATTAGGAAATTTTTAAGTTCCCTTCCAACCTGAGCACCTAAAATTTCAGTTTTTCATCTTTTGCCTTTGATGTGTCTGGGGAGAGGGAGACCTGGGCCCTGCCTGCAGCCACTACCCCAGCAAGGACCACCTGCATTAGTTGTGCTCCCGCTTTCCCCTTAGGAGCCCTTTTCCAGTCCCAGTCTAGATTCATAATCACACCTTAGGCCATGCATATCCCTGAAGGCCTTGAAGTAAGGGAAGTGAGATGGACAGGTGCCTGGAGCTTTGAGCAAACCTGGGAGTAGGGGTGGGGGCAGGATGTGTGGGCTGTCCAAAGAACACAAAGATCAGAGAGGCTGACTCATTGGTCCTATCCCGAGTTGCCCTGGGGTGATTGCCTCCCAAACCTGCTTCCTCCATTCGTTCTGTCGCCAAGTTGCTCTGGGGTGATTGCCTCCCAAACCTGCTTCCTCCATCCTAGAGGACTATTTATCTACCTTGTCCTGAGTTAGCATGTAAATACCAAGAAGAAATCCCTGGAAGTGAAACAGTGTGTCTTGTTCACCAGTCTTCCCTCAGTCCCCAGCAGGTCAGCCTCAGGAAAGGGATCAGTGAACAGGTTGAGGGAGATTAGTTAGAGAGCCCAAAAGGGGTCCTTGAGAAACAGATAAGCTAGGCCCCTATGTCTCTGAGTACGAGAAGGCTGGACCAGTTCTGCAAGGCCATTTTAGCTCCACAAACAGAGGAGACCCTTGTGATTTCTATCTGAAGGGGTGGTTCAAGTCCACATTTTCCAATCCCAGATCGTGGCTTCAATTCCTTTGTGACAGTTTTGGGCTCTATGGTTTTGAAACTATCTCTTATTAACTCAACAGACTCTCAGCCTCTCATATTGGGGAGGAGAAAGCTATAGTGTCTCCTGCTCAGACCTGTGTCCCCCTCTGTCTGGCAGCAGGAAGCAAAAGTGCATAATGAGGACTTGGGTTTCCAGTCCCATTACTTAGCCTCTCAGAACCTCCGTGTCTTCACCTAGAAGATAGGGGTTGTCATGAGTCAGAGCTCATGAGTTCAGATATCGGGGGCCTTTGTTACAGTGTCTCCTTGTGGGTCTAAACTCTCTGACCTAATGAGTCATGATTTGGGTCCTTCCAGAGTCGATGGTCAGCATCTCTGTTCCTCCCACTGTGAAGCTGGAAAATGGAAGCTCAACCAACGTCAGCATCACCCTTCAGTAAGTTCCCAGGCCCAGCTCTGTCCTCAGCCCAGCTCGTTCACCTCACAGCTGGGTCAAGGCTGACCTGGCACCATTCCGTTCATATTTCAAGTGTGATATCCTTGCCTCTTCACTTTAAAACAAGCCAGAAAAAGAGAGGCACAAGCCCTGGGCTGCAGACTGAGATCCCAGTCTCTCCCCACAACCACTGAATCCTTGTTTCTGGTGGGAAGAGCAGGAAAGGGGCTTCTACACAGAGACATGAGCCTTTTCCCCAGCTGAGAAGAGTCTTTGAGTGGCCAGCAGTTGAAGCCAGATTTCGTAGTGGTCCTTTCCAAAGCTTTAATTATTTGAGGCGGACCTTGAAGGCCAGGGGGTAAGGAGCTGAGCACTTCTGAAGTCACTTCCAAAGCAGAAGTGATTCCATCGGGCGGAGCCCATTCACGCACCACTCATACTTAGCCTTGTCTGAGAGTCTTTCTTGCTGACTTCTGGTTCAGATGTGAGGGTGCTGACCTAGTCCAGACCACCAGAGAAAGCCTGTATCCTTCACTGCTTTGCCCTAATCTTGCCCCGCAGCCACTAGGATTCCCAAGACCTCTGTCTTTTTTCTCTCTGCCCTTCTCCCTTTTTCTCACCTCTCCCAAGAAGTCTGTTCTCAAACCAAAGCTTTGGTACCAAGGCTCCCTAACAGACCTGCATTCCACTCCCAGCCCCTGTCACCTCTGCACATCAACACCTTGTAAATCTGACACATCATCCCCTCACTACCACTCTCTCCTCTCTAGAATCTTTGAGTGGCTTTCCACTGCCTTCCAAATTAACTCCAAGCCTCTAAGTCCAGACTTGAGGCTCCCAAAGGCTGCTCCCTGCTCAGACCTGAGTCCTCTCAGAAGCCTTTCCCACCAGAGCAGAAGCCTCTCTGGCCTCTAGACACCTTATTTGGTATTCACAGCCAGTTTCTCACCTTCTCATGTTCTCACCCAGCCCTAATGGGACAGCTTGTCTCCTGATTAAAGTAGAAAACTCTTAAGGAGCAGGGAGTCCACCTGTCTACCCCTCAGACCAAGCACATAGCACTTCTTCACCCCAATGACAGGCCCGATGTGAAATTCAGAAGGTTGATTGAGCTCTCACAGTGTCTCTCAGCAGTAATCAGACTCTTGTCCTCCACAGGCATCCGTTAAATGAAACCTTGGTGATCACTTTTGAAATCACATTTCGTTCAAAAAATATTTCGATCCTTGAGCTCCCCGACAAAGTAAGTAATGAATCTTAACTGATGAGTATTGAACTGCTAGGTAATAAAACACATTTTAATTAAGTGCTTCTGGAGATAGGCCTCCTTGTTTTTACACCATGGGCTGCTCCTGTCCCATCATTCTTGAAATCTCTGATTTTGGCTTTGTTTTGGTCTCTTTGAAGATGGGCATTTTATGCCATGTAGATGGATTAGGAAAGTGATGGTAAGAAATTTGAGGCAAAAAATGGTCCTGAAATTCTTAAGACGGTTTTCAAGACCTTGCTACTCAAAAGAATGTTCATAGACCAGCAGCATTGTCCCTGCTTGAAAACTTTTTAGAAATGCAGAATCTCAGGCTCCATCCCAAATCTACCGATTCAAAATCTGTGTATGAGCAAGATCCCTGGATGATTTGGGTCCGTATTAAAGTTTGTAAAGCACCGTTCTGAGATTCCACTGGTTGAGTGTTATTTCCAAAAACCAGTGAATGCCAGAGTCTGTCTTGTATCACAGCAATAATTGTTCATAGCCCTTATGCATTAATCTGTGAATATGTACCCTGCTTCTACCTTACCAAGTATTTGAGCCAATTACTCATAGACTAGATTTTTAAAATATCAGTAGGGGAGGTAGTACTGAGAGTAAACGAGAGTTTAAAAAAAATAGACAAAATGAATGCATGAATGAAATTGATAACCATGAGGCATGTCACCAGGCCCTGTATGGTTGTAGAAATGGGCTGCAAATTGGCTCTGAGCCCCCCAGCAAGCAGACAGTATTGAAGCATGGTCAGATGAAGGGTGTCTACCTAAAAGAACCTTATATAAGAAGGGAGTCTCATCTCATCCCATGGTGAATGTCACATATCATTAAACGGCCATTTCTCACAACTTCCCCTGCCCCAGGGTATGAGGCCTGCTGCAGGGTAAGAAAAACTGTTCTAACAGTGGGTCCTGGCTCTCTGAGGTCTGGCTTGATCCACAGGTCAAGTGAGCAGAAGAGAGCCATGGCATGTTCCCTCAGATATAGGCCAAGGAAGGGCCTGAGGGCAGAACCTTTTTCTGCTCAGAACTTCTAACACAAGGAATATGAGGGGGTTCCAGTTAGCTGGTTGGTCCAGAGTTTTCACCTTTTTGTTAGTAAGCTCCTGGAAGGCAGGGACCTTGTGTGATCTGTCCCTCCATTTCCTAATGCATAGCCTGGAACTAGATACGCAGTGAGGTCCCAATAAATACATGGCCCTGGGTCAAATTCAGTTTTCCTAACAGGTTGTGGTGCCTCCCAGAGTGACAAATTCTTCTTTTCAAGTGACATCTCAAAATGTGGGACAAATTACTGTTCACCTGCATGGAAATAATTCCAACCAAACAGGGTAAGCTGGGCCTTAAATGATGAGAAGGAAGGCAGTGCTGGGCACGTGGGATTTTCCTTCAGAAGCCCAGCGTCAGCTCATACTGGTCCCCAAATTCTCTCTAGCCCAAGGATACGCTTCTTGGTGATCCACAGCAACGTCATTAGCATCATAAACCAGGTGATTGGCTGGATCTACTTTGCAGCCTGGTCCATCTCGTTCTACCCTCAGGTGATCACGAACTGGAGTCGGAAAAGGTAACCTGCTGAGCTATCTGTGCAGGTTCATTTGGGGCTAGTATGACGGGCATTCCAGCGAGACTATAGGCAGCATGGGTTCAGACTTTCCCCCTCTGCTTTTCTCTCTTCCTGCCCTTACCAGAAAGTTGTCAATGTAAAAGCTCTAAGAGCCTGTGGTAGTTCTTGCACTGCTGGGCATTTGGTCTCTTTCCCATTTCAGCTCTTCCCTGTGAAAGCAATAAAACGGGGCTTCTCAGTGAAGTGGAGAATGGGCTGGGTTGGGGTAAGGAAGTCCACCCAAATATGCTCTCCTCTTTGTCTATCCAGCCCTGGAGGAATTAGTGTCACATCATACCTCAGTGCTGGAATTGGAGATTAAACCTTCCCACTTTAATTTTGAAAAAACAGAATGGGAGGTGAGGCTGAGATGGGGGTGCAGGAAGACCCTGAACTCACCTCCTCCTACAGACACACCGAATATACACCTACGTGTAGAGTAGTTTCTCCTGAAGAAGAACTGAGGGCTGGCCAATTGAACAGCTTCTGCACAACAAAGGATAGAGAGACCACACAGAGATGGATAGGGGAGATAGAGACACAATAATGAAGGGAATCCTACCCGCAAGTGAGACCTGCAGCAGGGAGGGATATTACTGAGGGGGCTGCCTGTGGACTCGCCCGCCCTGGGGCACAGCCAGAAAACTGGTTTAAAGGGCACCTAGATTATAAATGAAGGAAATCCATTTACGTTGCCTTTCCATACACTAATAACAGTGTTTCAGAAAGAGAAATTAAAGAAAACAATCCCATTTACAAATGCATCAAATAATTAAAATACCTAGGAATAAATTTAACCAAGGAGGCGAAAGACTTGTATTCTGAAAACTATAAGACATTGATAAAAGAAACTGATAAAGATACAAATAAATGGAAAGATATACCAAGCTCATGGATTAGAATAATTAATATTATTAAAATGTCCATACTTACTCAAAGCAATCTACAGATTCTGTGCAATCCTTATCAAATTAACAATGGCATTTTTTCACAGAACTAGATAAAGAGTTCTAAAATCAGTATGGAACCACAAAGACCCCAAATATCCAAAGCAATCTTGAGAAAGAAAAGGTATCATGCTCATTGATTTCAAACTATAGTACAAAGCTGTAGTAATCAAAACAGTATAGTACTGGCACAAAAACAGACACATAGATCGCTAGACTGGAATAGAGAACCCAGAAATAAGCCCACACACATACAGTCGATCTATGACAAAGGAGGCAAGAATATACAATGGATAAAAGATAATCTCTTCAATAAATGGACAGCTACATACAAAATAATGAAACTGGACCACCATCTTACACCATTTATAAAAATAAATTTATAATGGATTAAAGACTTGAATGTAAGACCTGAAACCAGAAAACTCCTAACATAGACAGTAAGTTCTTTGACATCAGTCTTAGCAATATGTTTTTAGATCAGTCTCTTCAGCCAAGGGCAACAAAAGCAAAAATAAATGTGATTACATCAAACTAAAAAGAGTTTTGCACAGCGAAAGAAACCAACAAAACAAAAGGGCAACATACTGAATAGGAGAAGATATTTGCAAATCATATATCCCATACGGGGTTACTATCCAAAATATACAAAGAACTTATATAACTTAATTTTTAAAAAAAAACCCACACAATTTAAAAAATTGGCAAAGAACTTGAACAGACATTTTTCCAAAGAAGACATACACATGGCCAACAGGTACATGAAAAGGTGCTCATCGTCACTAATCAGGGAAATGCAAATCAAAACCATGAGATACTACCTCCTTATACCTGTCAGAATGACTATTATCAAAAAGACAAAAATAGTATCAGTGAGGATATGGAGAAAAGGGAACTCTTGTATACTGTTGGTGGGAATTTAAAATGATAAAGCTACTACAGGAAACAGTATAGATGTCCCTCAAAAAATTAAAAATAATACTATATGATCCAGCAGTTTCACTTCTGGGTTTCTATCCAAAGAAGATGAAAACACTAATTTGAAGAGATATATGTACCTCTATATTCACTGCAGCGTTATTTGCAATAGCCAAGAATGGAAGCAACTTAAGTGTTCATTGATAGATGATTATATAAAGAAGATGTGATATATATTACAATAGAATATTATTCAGCCATAAAAAAGAATGAAATCTTGCCATTTACAACATCATAGATGGACTTAGAAGGTATTATGCTATGTGAAATAAGTCAGACAAAAAAATACTGTATGATTTCACTTAAAATATGGAATCTAAAAACACAAAACAAAAACAATATCATGCAGTAAACAAACTGGTGGTTACCAGAGAAGGGAGGGGTTGCATGGGTGAAATAGGTGAAGGTGGTTAAAAAGTACAAACTTTTAGTTGTAAAATAAGTCAAGGGGATGTGATGTACAGCATAGAGAATATAGTCAATAACATTGTAATAAATTTGGTGAATGGTAACCAGACTTATCATGAGGATCATTTTGTAATGTATATAAATATCGAATTATTATGATGTAGGCCTGAAATGAATAGGATATTATATGTCAATTATACATCAGTTACATGTACACATACATACATACATACACAGTGAGCCTGGTGTTTGGTCTTCCTGCGGCAAGGACACAAGCTCTCCTGCAGTCACCTTAGCCATGTGGGCATTTTAGGGAGCTGAGCTGGGAGCAAGGAAGGGAGATGCCTCCTTTCTGCAGGAGGCCTCCAGACTTCCCTCTAGGGCCAGAATTTGAGGCAAGAGGAAACTGGTTCCCGAGAAGGTAGGATTGGGTGGCATCGATTGTAGCATGGAGAGGGACCTGAGGACGGTGCTCTGCTTTGGAGAGTCGGGCTCTCCTTCCCGTGTGCTGGGAGCTGTCCTCTCCCATGCCCTCAGTAGCCCAGTCTCACGCCCTGCCTTGCTTTTTCTCTCCATCTCCCTGCCGCACAGTGTTGTTGGTCTGAGCTTCGACTTCGTTATCCTGAATCTGATGGGCTTCATGGCCTATAGCGTGTTCAACATTGGCCTCTTCTGGGTGCCTCATGTCGAGGTATGGCACTGCTTGCCCACCACAGCTCAGCCCAAGCTGTTCAGTGGCCTTGCCGCCCTTCACCCCTCAGTTTCTCACCCCCTAAACAGGAGCAGTTTTTCCTCAAATACCCGAATGGAGTGAACCCCGTGGAGAGTAATGATGTCTTCTTCAGCCTGCACGCAGTCGCCCTCACCCTGGTTGTCCTGGTGCAGTGTTTCCTGTATGAGGTGAGAGATGAACTTGGCATCTGTCCCCTTTCAGGCTGTTAGGCCAACACCCACCACCACCACCTGCCACCCATACCTGTCGTTTTACAGAAAGCACAGAAACCCTCAGAAAGGACATGTGTTTGTTCACTCTTAGTAAGCATTTGCATAATAAAGCCAAGATAATAGGCCAAGCCCCATGCTTGGCACAGGGACCACTCCATGAGCCCAAACCTTCAGGCTCCCCTAGGTCTGTGGTAAGGGACATGGAGAGGAAGTGACGACCCAGCAGGCTGAGAGCTGAGGCTAAGGGGAGAGCACAGGCAGCTTGAAGGCCTGACTCAGCCAGGGAGGAAGGGGTGGGAGGGCATCGAGGATATGGTACTTAGTTGGGTCTACGGGATACATGAAGAGGGCCAGGTGGGGCACTTCTAGCAGAGGGACAGAACTGTGAAGGCCAAGGTGCAGTGAGAGGAACCATGAGCAGACAGGGATGGCTGGGGTACAGGGCACCAGTAGAGGAAGCAGGCTCATGAGGGTCCTAAGAGGTCTGGAGGGGTCTGGAGTACCAGGCCGAGGAGCCTGGACTCAGTCATGTTGCTAGAGGGTAGTTTGGCACTTCTGCTGGGAAGGGCATCGTTAAGCTGTGCTTCAAGGGGTCGCTGACCTGCACATTTTCTTTCACTTCCCTGTGGGTGCAGCACTTCCCTCAGGGAGTTCCCTTCACACACGCAAGGCCATCCAGGGGCTAATTGGGCTCCACCTTCAACCTTCTAGGTTTCCTTACTCTTTGCTGTGAAGCTTAGACGAAGGAGGCCTACTTTGGGGAAAGGTAGGGGTAGAGGACAGATTCCAGAAATGATTAGGCTCCTCCTGGGTCTTGGAACAAGCCTGGTCTGGGACGAGGTGCCAAGCCTCCAGCGTGTTGGAGGTTCCGTCCCCAACACCCTTCACTCCTGGTGGGCTCTGAGAGGCACCCACTTCTGTACTGTGGAAACAAGAAGCAAATGGGCTCTGGAAAGTCTAAGGACCAAACTAGAGACGCTGATAGTGACAAGGATATTGTTGGTGTTGGGCTCTCTGTGCCCCCAGCTCCACCCCACCTGCCTTCCCTTCCTCTCCATCTCATCCTCAGCGAGGCAACCAGCGAGTGTCCTGGCCTGCCATCGGCTTCCTGGTGCTCTTGCTGCTCTTTGCACTCGTCATCATGATTATGGCCACAGTTGGGGTAACCACGTGGCTGCAGTTTCTCTTCTGCTTCTCCTACATCAAGCTTGCAGTGACACTGGTCAAGTATTTTCCACAGGTACCTTCAAGGCCTTCCTTACTTTTCACATGGCCATTAGGGTGAGGGAGGTGAGGTACAGACTCTGGGCCCTGCTCCTATTGGGTAGCTTCTGGCTAGGGTGAGGAGACAGGGATGGAAAGCCATGAGCCCAGCAGAGGCCAGGGGACAGGCAGAAAGTGGCCATTACCACTGCCTCCCTTTCCCTGGAGCCGGGACTCACATGAGGAAGTCAGTGGAGAATTCTCGGAGCTCACACTCAGCTCTTCAGAAGCAAGGGTAGTGCAGGTCACTCCCATCTCTCCATCCCAGCTTTTCTGATGACTTCAGTTCTGCCCCTCACCCCATCCCCCATTACTGATGAGCAGCAGCAGGATGCTTGGGAAAGATTAGGTGGGAGGAGAGAGCCCACCACTGTGATCTTCACCTTCCATCCCAACATGTTGTCCTTGAAGGTCCCGTCTAGGGTCCTCCTTGTGGGTCCTCAGCACCCTCCCTCAAGCACTCAGTCCTATTCAGATCTGGGGACTCAGAGTCAAACACGTCTTCCATAGCTGGAATGGCCCAGGGCAGGGTCATATATGAAATAAGTGCCAACTGAAGACTCTAATTATGAATCTAATTATGGGTCTCATTTAACTTACCCCATTCTCAGTGGAGAAGCCCTCTCTTCAGCTTCCCCAGCCCAAGGAACCTTGTGTTCCATGGGCTCAAGAAGAGCATTTTGGTCAGAGTCAAGGCCAGTCTCCTGGAGGGCATGGAAACAGAGCCAGACCCTTAAAGATAAGCAAAACTTAATTCTGTGGATACAAGAGAAGGGGGAGTTCCAGGCTCAGGGCAGCCTACACAGGTAGGCACAGGTAGAAAAACATGGGAGGTAGCAGGGAGACCTTGCTTGCTGAGAGCAGTGTGAACCTAAGAAAGTGAGGCCAAGTCCCAGGGGACTTAGGAAGAAGGCTTCCGAGTTGGGGAAGGTCTTGAGGGAATTGGGGCCTCCGTCCCTGAGTGTGGAAAAGCTTGGGGCTGGGAAACATGGCAGGCAGGAGCCCCAGTTGGAGACGTTTGGAACTGTCTAGGCCTGGAGAGGTGGCAGCAAGAATGGAGAGGATGGGAGAAGACTACTACAGAGGCCAAGCCCTCCCTCCTGGGTGGTAGGGAGGTCACAGCAGTCAGAGAAACCCAAAGGGTGCTGGTGTTGGAGGTAGGATGTGGGGCACTGGCAGCAGGAAGGAACCGGGTATCTCAGTGGACCCGCCCACTAGACCTGAGAAGCCTGAGACTGCAGCCCCTGAGCCCAGCCAGGGCTAAGGTGGGAGGTAAGTCCACTCTACAGATGGAAAAACCAAAGCTAGGAGGACTCAAGTAACTCTCCCAAGGTAACAAAGCTATAGTGGTGGAGCTGGGATTCCAAACCAGGCAATCAGACTTCCAGCCCATGTTCACAAGCACAACATGAAGTCCAGGCTGAGTTTGAGGAGAATCAGAGTTGCTAGAAAATGAGGATAGGGCTTTGTCACAGAACAGGGAGGGATGAAGATGGAGAAACGCAGCCTCTCTCCATTGGAGTTGGGATGCAGAGATGGGAAGAAGAAAGCTGTGTTTGCTGTGCATGCAGATGAGACCCATGACCCACCCAAACTGGTCCTCTGCCAAGGCTTGTCAGAGCCTAAAGGTCACTGTGTTCCTTGGAGCAAAGGTTGGAGCAAATGAGTGGGTAGAATTAGAGCCGCTCTTGTTTGCAGTGGCAGTCACAAGGTACATGAGGGCAGCCACCCAGCCCCCTCACCGCCCTCCATCTGTCTGTCTGTCTGTCTGCCCAGGCCTACATGAACTTTTACTACAAAAGCACCGAGGGCTGGAGCATTGGTAATGTGCTTCTGGACTTCACTGGGGGCTGCTTCAGCCTCCTCCAGATGTTCTTCCAGTCCTTCAACAATGGTGAGTCAACCAACAGTGGGCTGGAGGCACAAGCCGGAGCCAGGCTACCCCCACTCCAGCCCAGTTTGGGAATCCAAGCAATGCCAGTCCCTAGATTACCTAGGGGCATTTGCAGCTGAAGTGTTTGTGGCTTCCTGGGCAGGTGAGGAACCCCCACCCGCCACACAGCCACACATGCTTTAGGAGTCGCCAACCTAAAACTGAATTCTGTCCTCTCTGGCTGTTAACAGACCAGTGGACGCTGATCTTTGGAGACCCAACCAAGTTTGGACTCGGCATCTTCTCTATCTTATTCGATATTGTCTTCTTCGTCCAGCACTTCTGCTTATACAGGAAGAAACCAGGGTATGAGCAGGTGAACTAGCACCCAGAGCCCCAGTGTAAACAGCCCAGGCCCTGTGCCCACCAGGAAAGCTGGAGAAGCGGTCTGGAGTGAAGGGCTGGCTCCATGTTTTGACAGTGGAGAAGCGCTCTCTTCCTCAGGGCCAGATGCCTTAAACATGAAACAGCCTGCCTTCACCCAGGACTCTCCAGGGCAAGGGAGAAACCTCCTTGTGGGACACACACCTGACTCTGCTCCAAGATTAAAAGCCAGACTGCTGGCAGCGCCTTCCAACCTACCCAAGGTCTTATCCCCTCCTGGGCCTTACTGGCCAGACAGCTGGCCCTCCTGCAACTTGATGCTGCCATCTCTATTTTCTTTAAGGCTGCAGGCAGCACACACAGGTTCTGACAGCCATCTCAAGCAAGATTGGGCACCAAGCTTGAAGCTGAAGGCCTTGCCCCAAGCAACCAGTGTTTCTGGGAGCAGCTTGAAGGACTGACTTTGCAGCTGGGAGAGTCAAGGGTGCTTTGCTGCCACTGCCGTGGTTCCCCGAGACCAAGCAGCCAGGTGCTTTGGCCAGAGGTGCTGGTGCTGGTGCTGGTGGCAGAGGGGCTAGGACTTTGGGGTTAGGCCTTGGAGTCCCTTCTCTGAAGGTCATATTCTCTGAACACTCACCTCTCTGACACTCAGTTTCCACAACTGCAGTTATAGGTGGCCCAGGCCATAACCTAGTTATGAAACAGTATTTCTGGACGTTGAGGTACCCAACAGATTGGTTCTGAACTGGCTTCATGCCCAACACCCTCTAAATCTTCATCACACTAACCCCTTTTGGATTTTTTGGAGGGATGTTTTAGAAATGAGTGGCTTATTTTCCTCTGCCTTCTGCCTACCTCCTTTCCCAGAATCAGGGCCCCATGTGAGCCCCTCTAAATGCTCCCTGCCACACACACACCCCAGTCTGTGCCTTAGAAGCCTGTTAGACCTGCCAAATGGTGAGAGTAGCTCCCCTAGAGGGGAGGGCAGGCCCCCTTTCCCTTACTTCCCCCAGCCCCTACCTAAGACTGATTTTTTGGGCTGTTCAGGAGTCTCACTTAAGGACTCAAGACCACCTCACACAATCTTCATGGGCCCAACCCTGATCCCAAACCCCCTTCCCTTCCAACCCAAGCAGTTGTCCTTCCTGGGGCAGGAGGGGAAGGTCCTAGGATGTGCCTTGTACATACCATGAGTTTGTCAGTCCATTCTTTTTACTTTGAGATCAATGTAAGGGGCCTATATCCTAAATTAAAACTTGATTGTTTCCTTTTGCACACTGAGCATTTGCCAGATGCAGGTGTGCTGGCTTCAGAACCAAGTCCACGGGGCTTAGGGAGATGGTCTTACTTCATTTAAGAAAACGTGGGGTTGTGAAATTCGCTGATCCCAAGGTGACTGCCTGCCAATCCTGCACTTCATCGGGGAACCCTCATGGGTAGCGCAAGACACCTGCCTGCTCAGGGCCAGGTAGGTCCCACACGTATCATGTCTGCATTACCAAGGGCACGCTGCTCAAGCTGTGGTTGTGAGTAGGGGTAGGATAAGGTCTTTAAGGGCACACCACCACTGGGAGTGGGGGGATGTCTGATTTTCCCAGTTTCTTCCTCTATCCAGTTTTAATATCCAAGAATTTAGAGTCTTGTTTCCACAAAGCAGAGATGGCAGCCTGACCAAATGCACACACCTGTTTTATTTGCACCACCCAGTGTGTTACCAGATGTCACATTTTAAAAAATGGAATATTTCAAAAATCTGACAAGAAAATGAAAATCTGATTTGGCAGTAGGTCCATGAGTGGCAACAATTCTCAGAGCTGGTAGTCCAACCAATGGTAGGCCAGGCAGAGACCCCAGAGCTCTTCAGCTCACCCTATCTTGTCAGATGGCAGACCTTGGAAATATTTGAGGTTACATCCCTGGCTGTGATGGACTGAGTGCTCTTAAGAATCTTAGGGGAGTGAGGAGCTGGGGCGGGGGTATATTTCTCCCATGAGTCTTTTGGTGTTCAAGAGACCCCCCCACCCCATGGTTGGAGCTAAGACCAGGTTCTCAAGGGAAGTTGGGGGCTCCCTGCTGCACTGCCAGGCTCCCACATAGTCCCATAATGTGGCCTGACCAAGCAGTGTCAGGTGAGCTTAGGAATAGTGGGGCTTCATCCCAGAGCAGCTGGGGCCAGGTCAGCAGCCTTACAGCCAAAATTCTTCATAATCCATCCCAAAACGCCCAATCCCATGCCTCAGCAAAGATCCCCTGTGTGTTCCAGCGCTGTTTATTGGGCACAAGATGTTGGGTGTCAGGCAGTGTCATACTGCCCCAAATCCACAGTAACCAAAGTAAGGTTTGTTGACTTCCTAAGAGTTGTCCCAGATGTGAATTAGTAAGCTAAATTCAAAAGTAGAATTGGCATCTCCAAATAGTAAGATAAAAATGCTTTGTATCAAAGTTGTGATTAAAAAATACAAAAGTTAAACCCACAGGCAAGGAGGAAAATGGCAATCCTGAGAACTGCCCTAAAATGTCAGCCTTGAACCTCATCTAAATCCTGTAAGCAGATAAACCCTGGGGATACCAGCACCCCTTAGGAGAGTGGGGGTGCAATGGGTGAACCGTGAGCCTGCCTGCCTTCCATCTGGGTGAACTTTCATAGTGCCTCTGGCATTGTGTCAAGTCCCTGCTGGGCAACACAGAGAAAAGCAGGGGACACAGGCACTTTGGAGCTGAGACACGAGGGCAAGGCTGAGCCCTGCAGGCAGGGCAAAGTGTGGGAAAGGCTGACACCCCCTGGCATTTTCCAGCTTTGTGGTGGGGCCCACTGCTCGCCTGAGCACTGATGACACCAGGCAGCAGGGTCTAGAGGCCAAGCCTGTGGTCACTACAGACTGACTACTCAGCCTCAGGCTATTATTTCCAATCCGGTGTCCAAGGGAGACAGCTGATCCCAGAGCCTCAGGCCACTGGTAGGCAAGGTGAAGGAAGGCCAGGTCAGACCTCTGGGACCAGCTCTTGCCCTTCTGAGTAGGAGCCCAGCACTCAGCAGAAGTCAGGATGAGGCGCAGACAGTGTGGAAGTAGTGTCACTGTACAGAGGCGGGCTGGCACGAGTTGGAACCTCGGCGGGCTGCTAGGACAACATGGACTGCTGCACAGCCTTCTGCAGTGACTGCCGTGTGACCAGCAGGCGCACCACCTCCTCTGAGCGCTTGGTGAGCCGCTTCCGGGCCTGGTCATGTGTGACCATGGTCATGTCCCAACCGTTCACCTGGCCCAAGGAGAGAATACAGCCACCTCAGCTCCCCGCCATCTGGGATCTGGAAGCAGGAAGGCCTTTGGCCTGGGTCACCCAACCAGGCCCCCAAGCTGATGTCCCCAGGATGGGGGATGCCAAGCACCACAGTCGACACACAAGAGCAAGCCAGCTTCCTCTAGGGGTGACACCAGCATGGGCTCCAAAATGGCTTCGGTGAGTCTCCCAGGTGCCCTGGGATGCAGGGGCAGCCCCATCCCCACCCGAGAGCTTCAGACCCTCTGACCCAAACCTTGTTTTCCTCCTTTGGGACATCTGTTACCTGCATGATCTTGTCTCCAATCTGCAGCCCAGCAATTTCAGCAGGGCCTCCTTCGGATACCCGTGTGACGTAAATGCCCTGGAAAGAGACAGCCCTGATCAAGCTCTGGGTTCACTAGACTGGCCCCCTATCCCAGAGCAAAGCTAAGCACACCATACTTCCAGCCATCCATCTGTCTGTCCCTGCACTGAGCCTCCTCCCAGCACAGGCTGTGTGTGCCAAGGGGACAGCAGGCTGCCCCACGGATGCTCCAGCCTCTGCTGCTCCTGGGCTGTCTGAGCAGGCCTTCCTAGGGCTCGGAGGCCCACTCCTCATCCCCACCCCTATTTATTCACACCAGATCATTTCTTGAACCTTCTTAGGACTGTTTGAGAGAGGTGAGGTCTCCTTCCGCAAAGGCCCAGGAAAGCAGAGACCCACCATCTCAGGCCTCTGTGCCCTACAGTGAGGCCCCAGGACCCTGGTCCCCTCACCTTGTCTGTCTTATCTTCTGAGAAAGGATTCTGAGAGGGATCCTGGTCAATCCCACCTCCAATGCTGAAGCCAAGAATTAAGTTCTCACCTTGACGAAGCTTGTGAATTTCAACTCTTTGCTGGCAAAGAAAAAAAAATGAGTTGGAGGTGAGTGGGTATGTGGAAAACAAATCTGATCTGTGTCTCCCACAGCAGTCTCTGGCTGCTGGAACAGTTCAGCCATGCCAAGAGGATGGGGCCCATGGCCCTCTGCAGAAATCCAGAAGGTCACCAGCCTGGGAGGCTGGGGGTTGAGACCCAGAACTCAGCCACATCAACCCATCCACACAACCCTCTGTCCTAACTTCTCCCTGCTTCCTCTATGTCAGGTACCAGCCTTAGTCAACATGTGCTCAAGAGCCAGGGTGCTGTGGCTGCTGTGGATAAGGGCCTATGTCACAAGGCAGGAGGGATCAGGCCCGGAAAAAAAAATGCAGGTGCCTTGCTGAGGCAGCTCAGATTGCTGAGCCAGCCCTGTCAAGGGCAAGATAGGAGATGTTCAGGAAAAGTGGATGATCAAATGCACACAGAAAAAAGTGGAAGGGCTGTCCTGGCCAAGGGAACAGGAGCAGCGGCTTGAAGGTGCTGTAGATACATGTCCATGAGGCTGGTGTGTACAGTGCGGGACCAGAACTGAGAGGTGAGATGAGGCCGCAAGTGTGAAGCTGAGGCCAGATCAGGAAGGCTGTGAAATGCAGGCCCAAGAAAGTGGCCCCAAGGGTCCTACTCTCGTACAGTGTAGGGGGTGGAGGAGAGCCCTACGGTTCTCCCACATGCTCTGGGGCTGTGGTCCTCAACTGTGTCAGGCTCCTTTCAAAGCCCTCAGCAGGCATGCCCCAGTCACCAGATGCTAGGAACCAGACCAGATTCCCCCACCCAAAAAACTGAGTTTTAACAGGAAGACAAAATGAAAAGTGACTCGATCTAGGCCCAAGGGGCTTCACAAAGGAGAAATCATTTGTACCAGATCTTGACTCTGGGCCCATTAGAGTTCTCAAGAGTTGGTAAGTAGGGCTGGTCATGGTCAGGTTTGATGCTTGTCAGTAGGGGAACGGACCTCTCAGAGGTGAGATGTAGAGGCCAGGAGACATGTCACTTCAAAAGTGACATCGACAGACTTGGGGACTGCTCATGGCAGAGAGGAGTCAAGAGAAGCACCTGGTCTGGCTGAACACAACCATCTCTCAGATGGAGACTCTGGAGGAGAAGGACATGTTGAATTTAAGTGCCAGAAGCCATCCACGCAGGTATCCAGAAGGTAGACGGGCCTATGGAGCCAGAGTTCGGAGAGGCCAAAATGTTTTAACATTCTTAAGATGTTAACTACATGAAGAGAGGACAGGGGCCAGGGAAGAAGTCTCCCCCACCCTAGTCTAAGACTCAAGAGGGAGAGAGAGGCCAGACCCCACCTACCACGTTCAGATTTGTGTTAGAAGAATTGGGTGGTCATGGTCCTACAGCTTTGAGGAAGGCCAAGGAGACTATCCATGGCATGAGAGGAGCAGGAAGCATGGCTGAGGTCCTCAGGCATGTTGTGAGCAACAGGAGTTGTGAGCAACTCCAGGCCTGCTCCACCTCCTCCAACACATAACTTTTTCACACCTTTGACTCACATTCAAAGATGGGCTTGGAGACAAGGCCCTGTCTCTGATCTGTTGGGTGAGGTCAGGCAGGTCACTACCTGCTCTCTGGCTCCTCACCTGCACCCATTTTTTTTTTCCAGCTAAGGAGCAACCTGGCCCCTTCTCTCTGGGGCAGCAGGGATCTGGAAAAGTCAAGCTGGACAGCTCTCAGCAAATCCAGCAATGTTTCCTCCTAGCCCAGACCTGAGCTAGAGCTCTGAGCTCACCCTCACATGCCACCTTATCAGTGGCTTCATGCCACACCCATCTGAGATAATGCAGGAGCTCCCAGCACAACCATCTGAGATAATGCAGCCAGTCCCATGACCCCATGGCTGAGACTTTCACCTGACTCACTGCCTGCCCAGCAGGCATTTCTTCTCAGAGATCTGGGTCCTTCCTAAGGGGTTCTTTATATGGCTGGCCATGACTAGACCTCTCTGGGACCCACATTACCCCGGCTCTGCGGTAGAATCCAGGTCCCATTCAGCTGTGGCATTGGCGTCTGGGTCTAACGTCCCAGCCTCCTTTCCTCTCTTTGATTATTCTAATAGCACCTGATACCTAAGACAAGCCAAGGGGGAGAACCAGGGGCCTGAGCTGATCCCAAAGGTTCTCCTCAGGCACCAAATGCCAGGCAGGGAATCTAGACTTTGCTCCAAGGGCTGGGGATTCAGGAAAAGGTCCGAGCCAAATGTATGAGCGGGCAGTGGTGAGTCCGAAGTAGCAAGGCTGGACATGAGGTGGGGAAAGGGACTGCTACACAGGCCCCAGCCACCACCACCCCTCAAATCTCCCTTTGGGCGGCAGCGCCGACTGGAGTGGAGGAAGCACTTCCTCATTCCAGTGGCTGCGACTCATGGACATCCGGGCTGGCGCCCGCCCCCCGCGGCTACCCAGCTGGGATCACAGGCCCAGGAAGGCCCTGGACAATTTCCCAGACTCCCACAGCCGGGCCTTTCTCCTCAATGCTCCCCGCCCTGGCCAGCTGAAAGAAGTCCAACGCCGCTGCGGCAGTGCACGGAGACTGGCCTTGGTCCAGGATCTCGGGAGGCTCTTGGGTTCCAGCATTCCCTTTTGCAGGCTGAGATGACCGTGGTTGGACCGGAGATCGGAGCCCTGGCCGCGGATTTGCAGGAGCTCGAAGCTTTGTCAACCAGTTTGTCAACCAGTTGGCAAAGTGGGAGCAAGCCAAGTGAGGGAGCCCGGGCGAGTGTACTCACCACTACGGCAGTGACTGGCTGGCCCGGGATGTAGGACATCTCGACTCGAATCCGGTAACCAAGTACCGCTCAGCGAAGCCCGCAGCGAAAACCCCAGTGGCCGCGCCCTCTGGTTAACAAAGGCAGCCCGGCTCGGCCCGCCCTCTCATGAATAGTTAACAAATCCCTGGCCAATCACCAGCCGGAGCGCTGTTGGGCTTTCGGAAGTCCCAGAGTGTGCGTAGTAAAGCGACAAGGGGGGTGGGGCGTGCGTGGGGTTCTCGTGGCGCATGCGCTAGAGAGCGGAAGCGCAGTCTCGGCCCATGCGCAGCCTGGGACCTCCCAGCAGCCTCTAAGAGCAAGATGGCGCCGCGGGAATCTTTTTACCAGGCAGTCTGAGCGAACGCCAGGTGACTGTGTCCGCCGCTGCGTTCCAGGTAACCTGGCGTGCCTGGGCGGGGAATGCTGATGTGCTGTCGCTCCCCCCAGCACCCGCAGCTTGCCCGAGCCCTCAGGCTTCTCAGCGTCTTTTGAAAGTTCGAGACCCAAGAGCGGTGCGAGGGGGAGGGGCGGCGTGAACCCAACTCGCCAAGCTCCGGACGCCACATGTAACTTGATTTTCTCCGCAGCTCCGCGAGAAAGCAGAGGCTGAGCCCCGAAGGATGGCCACTGTGGTGGCCAAGCGGGAAGGGCCGCCGTTCATCAGCGAGGCAGCTGTGCGGGGTAACGCCGCGGTCCTGGATTACTGCCGGACCTCTGTGTCAGCGTTGTCGGGGGCCACGGCCGGTATCCTCGGCCTCACCGGCCTCTACGGCTTCATCTTTTACCTGCTTGCCTCCATCCTGCTCTCCCTGCTCTTAATTCTCAAGGCGGGAAGGAGGTGGAACAAATATTTTAAATCACGAAGACCTCTCTTTACAGGAGGTCTCATCGGAGGCCTCTTCACCTACGTCCTGTTCTGGACATTCCTCTATGGCATGGTGCACGTCTACTGAAATGGGGACAGGGATGACTTTTTTAAAAAAACAGATTGGGAAGACTTGCCAGAAATTAACAACGTGTAGACTTACTTAGTTTTTAAATTGTTGAATTCGCTGCTTGTTCTGTAACGTTATCAATAACTTATATACGAAGACGAAGAGCCTGTAATTTTCTTCAGATTAAATGAAGCGTGAGACAATTTATAGAGTTTTTTCCTACCTTAACGCATACTCCCTGTCTGTCGTGGGTGCAGAATCGCCAAGTTTTGACTGCCGAAGAGCTGGGACTGAGCCTTACTTAGCTTTCTGCAATTTCCTTGCATATTTACACTAGGACCTAAATAAGGAGAGAATTTATGGTTAACAGCCTAAGAATTAATAACAGTTAATATTAAGTAAGCCCTATATGCCAGGCATTGTGCCTTGACCTTTTACACCCATTATCATTTAATTCTAGCAATATTCTTCTGGAGTAGATGTGATTATTGTCCCCTATTGATGAACCTAAGGCTGCAGAAGAGGCACAGCTTGGAAAAGGCAGAGCCAGGATTCAAATGCAGGTCTCTTTAATTGCTCTTGCTTTATTAGCTGAGTGTACTTATTCAGAGCCCAGCCTTCCACTAACCACCGCTTTAGGTATGAATGGGGGTGTTTCAGTTTCATTTCACCTAGTTAAAACTAGCTTTCATTTCCACTTAAAAATAAATTCAAGCTCTTTTCTAGAATATGTCTAATAAAAAACAGACAGCATTTTAAGCTAAACTTTGGGCTTGTCTAGAATGTAAATGCCTTTGTCTATATGCTACCCGATGATCCGTCGTCAAGAGGATTATCTTACAATAAAATGCATATTTTAATTGAGAAATAAATATTGCATTAGTTATAGTAATGAACATGTTGCTTATGTAGTTTGTAGTCTAACTGGGAACACCAGCATTATCTAATTTAATAAATGTTTAAAATATGCTAAATGCCATGAAGAGAGTACATAGGAACCCCTAACTGAACCTAGGTTGCAAGATTGGGGTCAAGAAAGATTTCTTTGAGGAAATAACATTGGAGACCCAGAGGTTGATTAACAGCTAAGAAAAGTGTTTAGAAGAGGGAACTTGCAAGAAGGCACATGTGTGAGGGCCAGTAGGCAGAAAAGAGTTTGGCTTATATCTGGAGAATTAGAGAAGAGGCCATGAGGTAGACCTGGACCAGATTGTAGAAGGCCACATCAGAGAGTTTGACCTTCATTCTAAGAGCAACTGGGGAAAGCCCTTGGAAGTTTTAGTCAGGAGTAATGTGATCAGATTTGGATTTTTTTATTTTTAAAAGAATCTTTTAGATCAGAAGGGGATCTGAAAGCTCGAATCCAAGCCCACTTTTACAGACAGTAGGTGGCCCATGACTAATAACGGAAAAGGATCTGGGATCCAGGGCTCTTGAATCCATTTTGGGATGTTAGACTAAATGCTGGAACACACCCAAGAAGCAGCTGAGGCCACACCTTTGCCTTCCTCTCCCAGTGACCCTTTGAACACCTCTGACCACAACTGAAGATGCTCACATTCATGGTTTTGCACCTTCTCTCTCAACCTCCCCCAGTCATCTCTCATGGCCTTCTCTGAGTGGTAAGGGAGGGTCCATTCCTGGTGTGGACTAAGGAGGAAGAAACAGTAGGTCCTACTTGGTGTGGGGGTGGGGTGGGGATAAGTGAGCTAATTTACTTAACCATTCCTCTGTTGATAGGCAGTAAGATTGTTTGAAATATTCACTTTTATAAAAAATATTGCAATGACTGTCTTCATGTCTGTATTATTTTGAGGGAATTTATATGCTAGACCAGAAGATTAAAAATTTAATTCCAAATGCTTGTCAGAGTTTTATCAGATTACACTCACTGAATGAAAAGTGCCAGTTTTATCACTGCCTTCTTAGTCTTGTAACGTTTGCTCATTTAAAGTTTTCCTTATTTTCATTTGAATTTCTTTACAAGATAATAAGGAACGTAATACATTGCTCACTAATTGTTTCTGTGTCTGCCTCTTTTGGTCTCACATTTTCCTCTAAAACATGGGGCAACCATGAAGACATGAAGGGAAAAAAAATACAACACATTTAAAGTCAAGACCTTTTATTGTTTTACAACCAAATAAAAATGTCAGAATACATATATTGGGCAGGTCCCAGAAAATGTTTGCCATCTTTCCCCTTTAATTCTGTGTACTGGCCTAAGGGAAAACGAACAGCTGGAAGAAAGGTATGTCTTTTAGAGAGAGAATTCTTGTGTCCACTGAAGAGTATGCTCCGAGGAAAGTTGCATCACTTGGGTAGAGGCGGGTAGGTTGGAACCAAGTGGAGCCCTTTTCCATATATGTAAAAGGCCATTCCAAGTGGGGTGATTTAGGGACTGCAGGGTACTCTAGTCCTTCGCTGGAGTGCTTAGAGATACCTGGAGGAAGTCACATTCCCCCTTCACAACTGGTCCTCCACTGAGGCAGTCAGCCACTCAAAAGAACTGATGGAATGCAGGGGCAAAAAGGCAGCTGTGACTGCAGTCCCTGCATCAGGAGTGGAGGGCCCTTGGCATTTTCATGGCTGGTCCCCATAACGGTATGTTGGTATCACCCAATTTACAAATGTACCTTTGGCCAGCATCATGGTACTCCCGTAAGGCATAGAATAACTCAATCGTTAGGAAAATAACTAGGTAGATGGCTTTAGGCCAGGGCCTGAACAAGAGCATAGACATTTCATGTGATCCTGGACTGTCAGCTCTTGAGAGGCTGCCATGCTTCTGATAAGGCAGCCAGCACTGAGAGAAAGGGGCTTTCCTAAGTTTGAAAGGAGCTCAAGTTCCACTTCTTGCCATTTCAAAGCTAGTTTCTATAAGATTAATGAGCCTCCCACTCATGCACCAAGATTATGGAAAAAAAAAAAAAAAAAAAAACCCACAAGGAAGGAGCAGGAGGCCGTGCAAAGGCAAGGAAACTTTGGCAGTGTGCAACACTATCCAGAAGCTGTAATAGGAGTCACTAGGTTGAGTAAGTCCGCCATGGCAGTGAAGTTTAATGGAGCAATTCTCAAAGTTGATGAAAAGAAAGCCTCACAAAACCAGCACCAGTCTTCATCCAGTTCCCGGGTTGCTCCTTCTCATGTCAAGGGATTTCTTTTACATTTGTAATTCCTGTACCTGGAATGCTTCCTCTGTCACCTAGTTAGACTGCTACCAACCTTTCAATTTTAATTCATATGTCACTTTCTTGGGGAACCTCTGGCTACTCCATTGAAAACTCAATTCGATCTGTGATTATATGAGTGACCACTGGTTAAGATTCGGCTCCCCTGAAACTAGAAGCACTAAGCCAGGGACTGTTTTTGTGTTGTTTGCCACTGTGTCACCAGCATTTAGTCCAACACCTGACACAATAGGTATTCAATAAATGTTTACTGACTGAATTAATAGTGTAGAAAGACATTTTCATTCCAGTGTAAAAGAAATAGTACAACTGTTCCTAGGTTTTATGACTATTGCCAAGCAACTCCAAAAACAGGTTAAAATAAACCAGACCAACTCCTGAGCAGCCACGACCCCTGCCCTTTTCACTTCCTCCCAAATAGAAAAGTAACATGTTTGATTATCCAATCTAAGTGTTTGCTTTCGTGAGAAAGTGAAACACCATAGTGGATCAATCAGAATTTTCACTTTTTTAGAGAGCACGTGGACTTGTTGACTGGTTACCAGACAGCCCAAGGTGAGGGAGCTGCTTGCCCCAGAAGGGTTCTTATTCTGGGCACCATGACCCTCTGCTCCAGTGGCAGAGCCTCATCAGAGACCTTTCAGGCCCCTTCTCACCCTCCGCAAAGGCGCCAAGGGAAGGATGCTTACCTTCTCTGTGTGCAGAGAAGAACCAGACTCCTCTGACTCGAGGCCAGAGAGAGCCCTAGGGTTTACACAGGGACTCCTCAGACACTGAGAGATGGAGAAGTGGGGTAGCTAGCTCCCAACGCAATATTTAAGCCTGTTGCATCATGCCCCTTCTGACAGAGGCTTGGTCTAACATTGCAGGTATCAGGAAAAGTTCATTTCCTGAGAGAGGCCAGTAACCAGCTGGATTCTCAGCAAAACAAGGGAGCCTCTTGTAATTGGTAACAGGCTGCCTTGGGGAACAGGGGTGGGAGGGAAGCTTTTCACTGTCTATTCTTTTGTACCTTTTACATTTTGAATTATAGGTATTATCTAGTCAAATATTTTAATTTAAATAAATTGAGTGTAATGCTCCTTTCCCTGGAGTGAGGGTGGACATGGGGGAGGGGCGTCCTCTCAGTCTCAAGGTAAACTGTAAGTCTGACCTAGAAAATGGCACTACCCACCAAAGCTGGCCTTTTCCTCCTTTAGAACCAGCTCTGCAGATCTCAACCAGTGCTTCTCAGACTTTAACAATCACCTGGGAATCTTGTTGAAACTAAGGCTCTGATATAGAAGGACAAGGGAGGGGCCGAGACTGCGCATCTAACAAGCTCCCAGGTGATGCAGATGCTGCTGATCCACGGACCACACTTTGAGTAGGGAGGCTCTACAGCCACTAAGGGAGGGAAGCAATGGAGTTCTGCAGGGTGGAGTGGGGTAGGGAAGGAGGGGCAGGAGTGAGGGAGTGAAGGACTCCCTAAAAGTTTGGGCCTCACTAACAACAACTGTTTGCACCTGCTCAGTGAGCACTATCTCATCAGCCCCCTTAAGACCCAGCCTTGAAGGAGAGACAGGAGAGCCCAGCAGGGATACCCAACCCCATAGAACAGCAAGAGCCAAACCACAGGCTATGATCCCCATCATCTGGATGACAAACTATGCCCAGAGCCTCCACAGACTGAGCGAGTCAGGCTGGAGAGAGGCCTCCCCTCCCCACCTTACCTAGAAGCCCTTGGAGGCTGCCTCTCCCCTCAAAGGCCAGCACCTCCTGACAGGTCCAGTTCTCTACTGGTTGCCTCTTTGCCAAATGTCTCTTTGGATCTCCAAGATCTCTTTGAGGAGCCGTCATGCTTTGCAGGGATTTGTGAAAGTCTCAGGCTGGAGGAAGGCCAGAGTGGCTGAGCCTGGCTGTGATGTTTGTTGGCTCTGGAGGGAATTCTATATGTACTCCCCTCTCTCAGGGCCAGGTCAGCATCTCATTTAAGCAGCTCTTGGATAGGCCCAGCCCACAGCAAAAATGTTTACTGCATGTATGAATGGATTAATGTCCAACTAGGTTCTCAGAAAAAAATAAAAACACTCTAGTATCACTCAGGCTCCTGACCTTCCCCCTTCCCTCTCCAGTCTCCTCTTCTAGATCTGAGCCACTCTGGCCACTGGGAGGCTCCTCCACACACACACACACAACAAAAAGCTTGTAGCAAGATCCCAAAATGCAGGATAGAGGGCTGTGCCTGGAAGTCCCTGTCCTACGCAGACACAAAGATGATTCTTCCCACTTGAGAGCTGCAGCAGTTCTGCCCGCAAGGTCTTCAACAAATCTGCTCAGCCAATACCTCTGGCTATGCCTCCACTGTCTGCAGGTTCTGAAGCTGTTCCACATTCACCTTTCCATTTCCCTGGTGGCCAGACCTGTGTGTGGGTGGGTGGAGGACACACATAGGGCTCAGAGGATGGTTGGGAACTCTATGGACAAAGACAGCCTCCTAAAGGCAGACTCTACCTGCAGCATCCTCTCACTGGCAGCACCGCAGGCAGGCAGAGCATTCACAGGGAGGGGCAGCAAAGACACGTCTTTGGAGCTGCCCCCGCAATGAGCAGCAGCCACTGTGGTGGCGGCTCAAGCCTCTCACAACAAGTAAGGCTGTGCTGAGACCAGCAGGACGGCCATTCTTCCCTCTCACAGACTGATGAGCTCAGGCAAGCATCCAACAAGTGATAGCTCAGGAAGCACGTGGGGGGCTGCTAGGTGCTAGGCCTACCTCAGATCCCCAGCCCCAGCTGCTGCAGCCCCACCAACTTCTCCAACACTCTTCCCTCACTCCTCTCCATCCTTTGCCCTTCCTCTCTGTCCCACTCCATTTCTCACCCCTTTCCTACCCAAGCCCAGCTCTCGGTTGGAGTCTGCTAGTCCCTGAGTCAGCAATGAATGAAAGGTAGGGGCCAGAGAAAAGTCCACCCCACGCCAGTAAACTCCTGGAGAATCACAGAACCCTAGTCTGACAACAACCTGGGCCTATGTGCAGCCCCCACTGAAAAAAAAAAAAAAAAAAGGAAAACAGGCCCCAAAACGGCCAGACCTATGCTCAAGGGCACATAGGGAGGTAGAGGCAGGGTGAGCCTGAAGGCTACCTCCTGACTCAGCCCAGGGCACCCTTCCACACCAGGCTGCAGTCACATCGGCAGAACCAGCCAGGTTGCCCAGGACAGCCCAGTGTAGGGCAGCCCGCCAACCAGCAGTCAATACAGCCACCACCCTCCTGAAGCTAGAGCAGCTCCAGAATTTCCACATCAAGATGTGCTTAGGGAAGGCATGGCGGAGACAGGGCTTGATAAGTCAAATAACCTGATGGAGAAGAACTGGATTCTGGGGACACACTGCCTGTGTTCAAGCCCCAACTCTGCTATTGATTAGCTGTGTGACAAGTAAGTTACTTAAGCTTTCTGTGCCTCAGTTTCCTCATTAGTAGAATAGGGAATGTTAATGTCTCCCTTATTAAAGTTGCCGAAATAAGTTCATATATACAAATTGCTCAGAGCAGTGCCGGGCAGAGAGTAAGTCTGAGTAAGTGACAGTACTATTGTCTTAACACCAGGATAGCACAGCAATCCGGTGGTTACTTAGGGGTACTGGGGAGCTAATGAGGATCATGGAGGGGCTAAAGCACCACCAGCACCCCTCTTCTCAGAATCCAGCTTGGATGAAGCTCTCTTGGGTCGTGGACATCCTGCCTTGTGACCGGGTCACCACAGAGCAGGGACCAGAGTAGCCTGCTCCAGGAGATACCAGAACACACAGCCATTCTCCTGGTTGCCACCTTCATCCTGTGCTCAGCAACCCAGGCCCCTCCACTGCATCCTCAGCATCCGAAGACCCATCATGCTGCAAGGACTCTGCTCACAGGGTGAGGACCTCCAGGTCCCTGGGCAGGACTTGCCGTTAACCCTGGCCTGTGCAGCCTGACCTCCCCCCAGGACTGGTGAGGGCAGGCCCTGCAGAACTACTTGCCATGCAGAGGGCACCCCTATTCCTCCAACAGCTCAGGGGGCACCAGTGCAGTCAGGGCTCACCCAGTCTTCAACCAGAGTCAGGGCTCAGAGTTCAGCCTATGAACCAGAGCTGGGGGTCAAGCCAGGCAAATGATATGGGCCGACCCTCCACCTGGTGTCCCAAGGTATAGGGGG